ATATTTCTATTAGGTTGGGTCCTTCTTAATTACTTTAAATAAAATAAATATTAGGTTATATAATAGACGGCCTATTAATAAAGAAACCCTTAATTAGTTAAAATATATAATTATTAATAAGAAGGAGGAAGGAAAGAAGTTTTCTAACGATTCGAAATTAATTAGAAATATTATAGATCGTTATAACGATTTTAATACCTTAATTAATCTCTACTAATGAAAATTCCCTCCTCCCCCTTAGGTTTATAGAATTTAGTAATTTCTTCTATAAGGTAGAGCGAAAATATATAAAAGATTATAAGGAGAAGAAATTATAAGCGTAAATTAATAAGGACGAATAGTATATTAATAAAATTATTAAATTATTTAATTTAATATAGGTATATATATATAAATTTAATATAGAAGGGTATTACCTTAAGTATAAAATTCGTTTAGTAATTCAAGGAGGTTAATAATTATATAATAATATACGAGAAATGTACGTTATTACCCTCGTAATCCAATTATTTAGGATTATAATAATTATTACTACCTATTTTAATTTTAAATTTAAATAGTATAATACAGTTAATACCTTTATTAATATAATACTAAACGAAATTATTTATATAAAACTACTATATAATTAGGAATATAAGGGTAAAGTATTAAAGTTACTATATATACTATATAAATTATAGTACTCTCTATTACTTTAGTAAAAAGAATTTACTAAAACTTTTATAAAAGCTAACTTTACCTCTATCCCTATAGAACTATATATATTAATTAAAGAGAGTATAATTATTTTCTTTTATATTAATAATATTATCCTTATTTATAAATTAGAATATTTATAATTAGTAGAGTGAATAAGTATTATTCTTAAATAATACTATTAATTAATTAACGGTTAAAATATTTAATAATTTTTAAGGATTAAAATTATTCGAAATTGTCCGCAGCGTTTACTTTAATTATCTTAGCGAAAATATATTTTTAAAATAATTAAAGGAGTTAAATAGAGGAAGAAACCCCCTAATACCCCTATAATAATTAAAGAATTTACCTCCTAGCCTCAATCCTCTACCTAATATATAATTAAATTATATTAATAAATAATTAGTACGGTTTTATATTTCTCTATTATTATTAGATCTAATATTACTTTTATACTATCCTAATTAATTCATTTTCTAATTAATTCCGGACTAATTTATTATTCGACGGTTGAGCGAATAAAGGCGTACTTTTATAATACTAATTATTATACCCTCTAATTAAGAAGAGGTAATAAATTTGAAATTTATATTAATATATTATTTATTAATAATATTAATAACCGAAGAAGTTTATAAGAGTTTATAATATAATTATTTAATAATATAATTAATTAGTATACTAATAAATAAAATACTATTATTATTTTAATAACCGAAGTAGAATTATTATTATTCGCTTAAAGAGTAAAGGAAAGTATATAAATAAAGAAATTCTTTAATACTTTTACCCTTCAATTAGGAATTGAAATTATCCCCTTCAATTATAATAATAAATAAATAATATATTTTATTACTAAAGAGAATTCTAAATTCTAAACTAAATTTAAATATATTAATATTTACAATTATTAATTTAAAGAGATTTAATAGTACAATATTATTAATATATATTATATCCCTACTAGTAAAATAATCGTTAATAGATTTATTAAAGCGCTTAATATATATAAGTATTAAGAGTTTATAAAGTAGTTTAATATAATAAATATTAGGGAAAAACGAGGAGAGAGAAGGAAGTTAATAAGAATAGAAGTAAATTATTTAATTATAATTAATAAAGAGGATTAATTAGAAAGAGCGTTTAAAGGATAAAAATATAAGTTAGGATTATTATAAATATAAATTACCTTCCTATACTATATAATTAAGATAACTTCTAAAAATTAAGAGGTACTAATATAGTAATTCAATTATATAAGGAGGAAAAAGTCAAAAAATTTAGTCCTAGTAGGATTTAAACCTACGACTTTTAAGTATATTATTTAAGGATAATCCGCTAATTATATTAATAAATATATTTAAAAGATAGTAAATAGATAATTAAGAATAATACCCTAACGTTCTAATTATTAAACTATAGGACCGGGTAGTTTTATTATTAAAAAGGGTACCGTTAACCTTCCCTATTAATAGAGAAATAATAGTAGGTAACACTTTTAAAGGTAATTATTAGAAAGGGGATGGGAAGGGTATAGAATTTGTAAATAGCTTTAAAAACGATAGCCTCCTTAAATTCCAATTTAACTAGGGGGGTATATCGGATATTGGAGGTAACCGGGGTACCAGCCCAATACCTTACGTAAACTAGCATCCCTAGTAACCTTTTGATACTAGATTTTCTATATAAGGAATAAACCCAATATAGAGATCTATATAATATACAGTCTATACCCTCTATTCAATTAATACCCCTGCTCGTGCTCGTATTCTATAGGAGCCAAGAAGGAGCCCCTGAAAGCGGCTGCCTTTTAGGGCTACCAATCAGATCAGGTCCTTCTATCACCGTCAACAACGACGACGCCGATGTACGTCTACATTCATCTACCCAAGAGACAGTTTGGCCATATCTTCTTGAACCTTCTTTTAAACTCAGTTTGGTCCTTCGCGTATGGAGCTTCTTTTTGATCTTGATATATCAGCTATCACTCGCTATACTTCTTCACGACTCCAGGTTTGCGATTTCACGACAAGATGCAAACAACATCAAGAGAACGGAACATGGGCAGCCATCGTTGTGACGGAGAATAACATCGATAACTGCTCGAGAATCCCGATAGAGCGATGTTTAGGAACAGAGTGTTGGTATACAGTCGGAAGTAACAAAACTGAGTGATTCTAGGTTTCTGCCTGTTTTCATCTCAGCTGCGACAAGTATTTTCCCAAGCCAAGGCAAGGGATTAGTTCTCAGTTTTCCGTCTGATGGCAACCCATGCAAGAGATTCTTGAATCTTGAGCCGTTGAGGAATAGATTGAGGTCTCGCTTCCATCCAAATATGGTTTGTCCTTGCATTCCATTACCTTGGAGATATTTCTCTTGGATCCTCAGCTCTGTGTCTACTTTTTTTTTCGACTGTCCTATTCTCTCGTCCTATATCGATCTGCAGCGATGCTCGTTAGTTTCCGCTATCACTTTCAACCCATCTGACCTTCATCCGGAACGTCACCAAGAATAAATTTCATGTGAGAGCTAGGTCAGACAGGCGGACTGTTGTGGAAGAAACGTTCAAAGGTCATCACTGATCTTCAGAGACCCCCATACTGCGGTTGGTTATAATCATATTCTAATTTACGTATCATCGAAGGAACAGTAAACGTAGTTAAGCGGCGGAATCTGCTAGATTCGTGGCTTGCTTGTGGCACTAGTGTGTGCTTGAGACTGAAGTCCCCTTCAGATTCTTCTCGAAACACTCTTATCATATAGATTGTCCAAGTTTAGACATGAAAGTATTTTGTCAAGTTTCTTTTCTTTAGTAGGTGTATCTCGACATTTTATGGTCTAGATGGTCAAGACAAAAGGCTTGAAGTCCTCATTTGAGCTTGTTTTAGCAGAGACATCCAAAGCAATGATCCACTTCTGTCTCAATATTCTTACTGCAGTGCAAAGAGACAACACCGGGCGGAGGACACTGGACTGTTACGGTTCTCAAGACAAGACTGATTTCATGACCCTTGTTTCACAGCTCACAAGTTGTTTGGTTTGTCTTCCGCTCGGGATAAAAAGGCGGACACTCTGCTTTCATATGGAGCATTTCCATCTCAACTTACCTGTAGCAGTAGTCGATCTTGTCAGCAAAGAAATATTTTCTATGAATAAATGGGTAGCTCTTTGAGCCAAATTTGGTTTCCGAATATGCATTCATTCCAGGACCTCCAGTTTAGTTACAAGGCGTTCAACTGACTCAATGCTCAAGTTTGTATCACAACAGTTCCAACCAAAGTTTCCACTTGCTCCAGATCTTCACGTTCCTGTCAGATCTGGCTCTTGAAGAGGGCTGAATCGTGGTTTCCATACCTATTCACAGAGCGAGGCTACCATCTACAGGTACGTACTTTCCGTACAAACACCCACCCCAAGTGACACATTGATGCCACTGCTGTCCTTGTTTGATGGCTCTTCCCCTTTCCAACGACAATAACGTGTTCAGCTCGGCTTGATCTCTGGCCTGGTGAATGGTCTTGCTCCTTTCCTCCCAGTCATCAGCTCATTTACATCTCAGATAAGCTGCGTTGGTCTAGACTTGTTAAGTTTGATGTTGCGATCGAAGTATTTTACCATTTGCTGTCCGAGTTTCTCCGAGATCGAAACTCATCAGGGCAAGGACAAAGCACTCAGGCATTTCCGAACAGTGACTTGGCTTTGATGCACCTTGCCCATCCAACCAGGAATATCACTACCTCAATAAACGAGTCGCAGGAAGACAACCGAAGTGTTCAACTTATCCGGTTGTGAGTATTTCCATGGGCAAGAGCAACCCAGGTTCCCATAGTCAGGTCTTCTCGTGCCCGCCACCTCTTCGGGTGAGCAACGTCATTTGGCTCCTTCCCTAATTGCCAAGGCACTCACCTCGAAGCCCAAAGCAACCAACCAGCAAGTTGCAATTGCCTCCAGCGGCCTACTCGGTTTGAGCTTGAGCGTTCGTGTCGAGTATTGTTTGCTTGGGTCGGACACGAGATCAAATTCGCGACCTGCGTTCTTAAATGGCCATCTCACCCTCCTCCTCCTCTCCATCTTTTTTCTTCATCTTCTTCTTCTGTTCATCCTCATCGACGAATCTTCAGTGTCTCCACCACCACCACCACCACTACCACTACCACCTGGTCTTCGACATCGACATCGCCGTCGTCGTCGCCGTCGTCCTTACCTCTACATCTTCCTCCTTCTACTTTTCTTTCATCTTTTCCCTTCTTCATAACGTTCCGCTCTCAACTCGCACACTCCGCGTTTGTCAAGTCACCATGTCATACGCCACTGGAGCTCGACTGCCCAATTCTCGTTCGGGCGCCTCATCCTCGTCGCAGCGCAGCGGCCAGGTGTCTGAGGTATTGAACATTCAGGTGAGTACCTTTCAGCTTTCCCCTTTCTCTCAAGTAGCGCAGTTCTACGTCCATGTCTATTGAGGAAGAGTGCTCTCACCCTCATTTCACGTATACTAATATCCCCTTCTACAGGTGGACTTGGTGGTCCCAACTCGTGGCTTTCGCATTGTAGACGACCAGGACCGAGAGCTCAAGACAATCTTGGAACAGATCGAACAACAGCACGGTGTCAGGATCTGCCTCAAAGCACAGGAGGATCCCATCCAGATCTCCGCTGCTTCTCCCAAGAACGCCCAGGCGGCGATACGCAGCATCTTGAGGAGCTTGATGCTCCGTGAAGGGCATGCGACAGTCTGGCGAGATTCAGTACTTGTCGCTCCGCTTAGCGGCGACAAGCGTGCCATACGGATACTTCTCCAGGACAGCCCTGGAACCACATGGTTTCGACCAGCCGCGACACTCACCGACTCTACTGAGGTGGCCGATGCTTTGGCTGTCCAAGCTTACAAGAGCGATCTTGCTGCTGCGATGGTCCGCGTGGGTGATGGCTTGCGGTATTCTCCCAATAGGATGCGCATGCAGATCGCTTTCGGCAAACTGTTCTTCAAAGAACGCAAGCGGGGTACTACGAGCTATACGCTCGATGAGTTCTCGAAGTTGGCTCGCAGGGTGAGCAGCAGAGGGACTTCCTACATGGAGATGAGGTAAGTGTATATTCTGGTCTTCTTCGCTTTTAGTCTCTTTCCCATCGGTTCTTTTTTTTCCTGGGCACCTTACCAGGCGATTAATGTCTAACACTGATCAGACTGGGTGGTGAATCAATGCGCGAAAAGATTCAACATGCCTTCTCCCTCGATCCAGACTTCGGAGGCCCCCAAGACATAGAAAACTTTGTGATTGTGACGACGAAAAATGTCAACCTGGAAGTGCGCGTCGATGGAAATCGAAACTGTGGTTTTACTTTCGGCTCATTGAACGTCTTCCATCGAGAGAAGAGCCACCGTAGTGTCGAACTTGCCACGGCATGCCCTGACAAGTAAGTCGGCATCTTTCTCACCTCCTTGCCACACTAACACATCCCAGGAATCACGACTGGGTCTTGAAAGTCGAGTCTCCCATCGATGAGACCGGCAATAAGCTCCCACTCGATCAACATACACTGAGCAAGGGCATCAGGATTCGTCACAATGCCAACACCGGTTGAATTGAGCCTAACATTGCGGCGTCCTTCGCGCAGAAACACCATATTGAGGCTCTCATTGGCAAGACGGCCTGGTCCTATTACCTCAACAAGGACTACATTGTTGAGCTTTCCCTGTACCGGCAGTGGAGCACTATCTCGGGCACCAAGAGCCGACAGCCTCAAGAGCCCGTCGCTGGTGTGAGCGTCAGCATGTATCGACCGGAGTGGAACGACCACATGGCCAATGCTGACGTCTCAGCCGGACCGCGGTCCTGGGAAGCGTTTCCAGAACAGTTCTTCAAGTCATCCATGTCATCCGCTGACCCCACTAGGGATCTTGACCCGCTTGATGCCTTATTGCACTGGGTTGGGAAGGTCCAAACGGTGCTGGAAAGAATTGTATAGACAGACGCGGGCTATCAGCAGTTGTAGATGGAAAGTTGTCGTGGTGAGGTATTAAGAGCTGAAGTAGTGATGTTTGGCTGCTGAGCTTAAGGTCGCGGAACGGTTCTTTGAATACATGGGTGTGTCATCATAATAATCGTCAATGGCTCAACGCGTATTCAAGGAGATCGAGGACATACACCAAGTAGCTGTGCCCAAGTTTTATTTTTGTCGTTTTTTTTTGCTTCGCTCAATCACACAATAACAAGTCAGATCCTCCACTATGCCTGTGCCGATGCAGGTCCAGCTCCTTGTGCCAGCACCTTCTGCCTCAAGACTAAATATTAATTCTTGTTAGTAACCATACCATGGCTGAAATACACGGATAGCCCGAGAAAGAGAGGAGAATGCCGTACCTTCTTCCACCACGCGGAGGTTGTTAGTCTTTCCCTGGACAATGGCTTCCAAGTTCTGAATGTTGGTGCCAAGTTCCTTGACCTTAGCATCGTAGAAATCAGTGGCACTGTTGGTGTCCTAAACGCTTCGAGTTAATAAAATGTAGTGTCGTTCGTGGCGGAGAGACGTACCTTTTCGACGTAGAACCCAGTACCAACATCGACGATCACGCGGTCGGGGTTGGAGAGCTTGCCCTTGACGTAGAGGGAGTTGGTGAGGGGCACGAGAATGTCTTTGTTGTCTGTTGGATAGGTCTTGTTGTCAGCGGTGACCATGGCTGAAGGGTAGGCGTTCGTCTGGGCTTGGGTCGGGATGAAGGGAATGGAATTGTAGGAAGGGCGTGGTGGAATAGCAGGTGGGGAGGTAGAGGATGGCGACATCACCGCCATGAGATGAGTAAATGAGAGTAAAATGAGGTGTAAACGTTTGTCACGGTTGTAAGTGGGATGAATAAGATTGGAGGAAAAGGGATCGCTCAACGAGTCACGTCTCGAGAATGAGACAAAAGCTCACGAAGAGGTTGACCGTCAAGTGGGAGCTTGACATAATCCATCCCCATCCCCCAAACTCCCGGCCCTTCATACATACTCATAGCCAATCCACCCCAGCTCATCCACCACATCAAGATGAAAGAAAAATGAAGGAAACAGGTAAACTAAACATACCATCAAAAGAACTGCTTCCTGTCTGCACAATTCGCAAGCACTCTTTGAACTTGGCCTGCGCCGCAGCTAGCTGCGTGTACGAGGCCGTCAGGTGCTCGACCTCCTCATCTAGCTGCTGCTTGACGGCGGTAAGTTGTTGAGCGCTGAGGCTCTCGATGTTGACTGGGAAGGTCTGTTAGTGACTGCCACATATTGAAGCATCAAACGGGAAATGGGGGCATGACGGTGTGGACTAAAGGGGGTGAGTGCGGGAGGTGACCAGGGGGGGGGGTAAGGTGAAGCTTGAGCTCGAGCTTGATTGAGCTTTAGAGGAGCGAACATGAAGCTTGAATGAATGGAAGCTTGCAAGGTTCAAAGGAGCGGGACCGGGGAAAGGGGAGATACTTACCTCCTTCTTGCTTGCCAGACATCTTTACGCTTTCTTATTCGTTTGTGATCGAGAGAGGAATGGGCTAGATGAAAGAGTGTCTAATTCACAAACTGAATGTGATGTTTGAACGAGGTTCAGTTCCAGTTGGTCCATCGGGCGGCCACGAGGGCCGGCAGCAACGATAGTAGTGCGTGGAGGTGGATGCCCCGCTATGAGAGCAGCTCTGTGGGGCAGAATTTTGCGGGCTTCCAGGGGTCGCTTCGTCGCTTTCCCCTGTTCGCTGCAGGCGGGGTACATGCCCCAGGGTCCTAGAGGTAGTAAACAGTGACTTCACTTTCTCCTGACAATCATTTTCTCACTTTTTCTCGACAATACCTATAGATAGGTCCATTGAGGAGCCAATCCTCGAACTGACCATCTTGTTCCGAGAGAAATACACGGCGTAGCGGCTTACTGGGTTGAGTATAACGGGAAACTGTACTGAAAGCGACATTTCACCCTTCCGTTCTCTTCAAACTCTCTCGTCAGTTGCCACTATCACTGAGTGGCACCTCAACTTTTCGCGTTACACATAAAAACGGTCACCCCAGTAACCTCTCACAAAACAAACTCACCTCATCAACAACCCCAACCCAACCTCGCAGAGGAGCACCACCACCATGGCGCCCTCACTACCACCTCCCATCCCCAAAACCCGCGTCGGCGGCATCCCCGGCGTCGACCGGGGCCGCAGCCTCTTCTCCACGGAGCGCTTCGGCGCCGGCGAAACCATCGCCATCATCGACAACCCCTTGCTCGCTCTCCCAGACGACGCCAACATGCGGACGACCTGCAACTACTGCCTCTATGTCAGCGGGACGATCGAGTTCGAGGGCGATGTGGAAGCGGGGCCCCGGACGTGCAAGGCGTGCACGGGCTGCAAGGCGGCCGTGTACTGCAACGCCGAGTGCCAACGGGCGCACTGGAAGCTGGTGCATAAGGCCGAGTGCAAGATGTTCAAGCGCATCAAGGAGCGGACGGGCAAGGACTGGTTGCCAACTCCCGTGAGGGCGGTGGCGCAGGTGATGCTGTTGTTGAAGGCTGGGGATGAGGAGACTGTCAAGGCGTTTGGGCCTGGTGGTACGTTGGAGAGTAATGTGGAGGGGTTCAAGACTGATGAGGGCTTGTGGGGTGATTTCGAATTACAGGCTACGGGGGCGGTGGTTTATGCGGGCTTGTTGCAGAGTGATGAGACGTTGAAGCAGGCTATGGAGGTTTTGTGCAAGGTGAGTTTGATGTGGAAGTCTGTTGTGTATCGACGTGTGATGTGAACTGACTAGTGCGGCGGCCTTAGATGCAAACGAATGCGTTCAATAGGTTTGACGCCGACACGGGACAGGCGGGCATCTACCTTCACCCTAGTCTTTCGATGGTTAATCACTCTTGCGTTCCGAACGCCTACATCGCTTTCGAGAAGCGCAAGGCCTTTCTCAAGGCGGAGAGGGATATTGAGCCGGGCGACGAGATTCTGATTTCATATATCGGTATAGTAATTCCTTTCGCTAGCGAGGGTTTTCTCGTCTTCTAACTTGCCAGCCAGATCACACTATGCCTCGCCGTGCAAGGCAAGAGAGTCTTCGACTCTATCACTTCCAGTGCAATTGTATTCGTTGCAAAGACGATTTGAATGCCTACGAAGTCATCCAGGCTTGCGGGGTTTCTCCGGGTGTCAAGTGGCTAAATTCCACCAGTTTCCAGCCGGATGTCGCCAGCCTGGTTCCTGCTTACATCGAAAGGTCAAAGACAGTACCAAAGTCAAAGATTGAGGAAATACACTGGAAGTGTATGGAGTTGACTTGCATTGTTCAGGGGGATCCTATGGAGAATGCGCGAGCCCAGTGGGAACTTTGCAAACCTCTCAGGGACGCCCAGCTGTGGGCTCTCGATCCCCTTCCTCCCACTATTCTCAGGATAGCTACCATGCTGGGTTCTAACCGTACTACGCTAGCCAAGGCGCTTCCTCTGCACTGCTTCATGGCGTTGGAATGCTACCCCTTCAAGTACCCGGCATCATTCACGCCTTTCAGGGTCAAAACACTGATGACAATTGCAAAGCTCCTGTCCGCGGCGGGAGATTTGACCTATAGCGGCGATCTTGCTCGGTACTGCGACCACGAGGGTGTCATTGGGGTTCTGGCAACCGCCGACATAGTTTCTTTGACCGAGGTCATCCTTCGGCTGGTCAGGCAAAACGGCGTCATAGGGGGTGTGGCATCGTGGGACGTCTTATTCGGAACCAAAGAAATGTTGCGCGACATCGAAGATCTGCAAGAGCGTGACGAGAAGGACGCCGCTATGGTCAAGCATTGGGCAAACAATTTGCAAGATCCTGTGAGCAAAGCCTTCTGGGAGAACGTTGTGCTCAAGCCGATCACACAGCTCGCGAGTTTCGCAATTGAGATCATCGAGGCTGAACTGGGATGCAACAAGAGTCTGGCTCGGAAGTAAGCCCGAAAAAAATCAAAGATATTTCAGTCCTTTCTCCGCACCTAGACTCCCTTCCCTTACTTGGCCGACAGGCTAGTCTGAAGTGTCCAGCTGCATCCCGACTGTACGCCTCCTTGTGCAGCGGCGTCGGGCGAGGCAAGGCGAAGTGTCGATAGCTGGCGTACTTGGCAACTCTCCTGCAATGTCTGTCTCAGGAAGCTCGGCCTCCGACGAGGTCCGTTTGTGACAGTTGGGAGATGTCAGATTCTTGGCAGTTTGCTGGTCACCCTCGAGCCGTTGCACCCTGCTCTTGAGAATATCGAAGTCTATCTGAAGACTTTCGATAGAGCGCATGTCGCTCAACATGCGTCTCAAGTCTACATTTTCAGCACGAAGTGTTGCAACTTCATTCTTGTCGTTGGTGGTGGAAACGCTATTGTTAACTTCTGATGCTATGTTATTAACTTGAACTAGGAGGTCAGAGACCTGGGACCTAAGCCCCGCCAGTTCTTGTTGCAAACGGCTTCCGACTTTGGTCAATCCGTTGCTCGCTTGTCTGGGGAGCTCGTTCTTCGATAAGGCATTGTTGATAACTCCCGCCCGGGGGGAAGTGCCACTTTCCCCTGGTGTCTCGGCCGAGCTAACTGTGCTGACTCTACTAGATGGCTCTGTGTCGTTGAGGACGCGATCGATGAGGAAGTAACTTTTCTTGCCCGCGTCGTCGTATAGGACAATTGTGCAATCAAAGAATAGGATATGATTTCTACAAGGTTATGTTAGGCACTGTCTTCGATGTTCCACGCCAAGGATCATATTTAACTTGCCTATCGAGCACATGATTCTTGGGCGTTTCGACGCATTTCAGCCCAAGGAACGCGGAACAACTGACACAGGCTATGATTTGCAGTCGACTACAACACATCCGAATAAGTAACAACATCAGACATGGAGTGTTTGATTGATACGGCCTTACCATTTTTCCAACAACGTACCCGGCTCTCCGTAAACTGTGCTTCTCTTGTGGCATACGTCCAAATCGTTCTTTGGTACGATGATAGGAACCAAATACATGCCGATTTCATACCACAGGTTGATGAATTTGCCTATGGTGTTTCGGCATTGTTTGCACCGGCAGAGCGCAAGCTCCATCATGCTGAACTATGGATGTTGAGGGCAATGTCAAGCGGCCTGCTGCGAAGGAATCCAGGAGTTCAGGAATGAGAAAGGAACGATATAGTGATGCCCTGCGTATCGGGAGATCAGAATTGTGGAGCGTGGACATCGGAATTAGATCACGCACATTGTTGCTTGAGCTGAAATCGAATTGGAAATGTGCTGGGGATGACTCGAACAACTTAGCCTTTCTCCTCTCGGAAGATTTTTCACATCATGGGCAATTTGGACGCTCAGTTCTCAACAAAGGAAGGAGCTATCGTATAAGTCGTTTGATAGTACACAGTAGAGATGGTCTTGGCACTACAGGGGATCGAAAGCTGTAGGCGCCACCTTCTTGGATGATAAGATGTGGCTTGACTACTTAGGTACCTCTATGTATGCCCGATAGGTACCTCTAATGACAGTGAAGTCCGCCACACTGGATATTACAGTGGGGCTCTGCCTGCAAACACTGCGCCGTGAGTCGCTCCACCCAGCCTTAGCGTGCCTGGGGCGGGTTTGACAGGCACGAACAAGGGTGTCTTTCTTTTTGGTTTGATCCGACTTCAGTGACTTCGTGCCAACTTCAGACGTCCACTTCCATCGATGTTTTCCCCAGTTTAAAACTTGAACACTTTCGTTTCACTTTCACTCCCTAATTCCTTCTCTTTTGCCATTCTTTCTGCGCCTGCACTTCCGTGCAGTTTTCAGGTCACACTCCCCTCAGAGGAAGCGCAGTCATCATGAGCAGAAAAAAGAACAAGAGTAAAGGTCAGCGCGGCGTTGCGGCTGCCTTGGCCACCTTCCAGGGCGACTCTATGGCCATTGATACCGAAGTCACCGGCGTTCAAGATTCGACTGCTCCGACAGACGGTGAATTGACGTCAATCACAATATCGGCTGGTCTTAAACGGCCATGTCCCGAAGATGATCATGAAGACGGCGGCGGCTGGCAGACAATCGAAAATGGTCGGCCGGTAAAGAAACTCAAGAAGATTCCTGGCCAGGAATCCAAGCGCTATCCCGGCATTCACTTTTCGACCCAGGCCAGGCTTTTTTCCAAGATCAACGTCTCTTCTTTACGCGACCTGATCCTGTACATCTTTGCCGATGGCCCTGCGCCGCAATGGGTGTCTGTCAAGCATCGCCCCGAGTTCAGAAAAATTGTGGCCATCATGGTACCGGGTCTTGACGAGGCCATGTTCAAGAACGGTCTTGACTTCTCCGCCTACACCGGTCCCACTCTTGATCAAGCGATCTCCGGTGGCGGCGCCCCTGATCCTGATGAGTACTATCCACGCGAGCTCAAGAAGGAGCTGTTGCCCGAAGTCCTACAGCCCTTCGCCGACATGTTCCCGCATTTGTGGCCTGTAAAAGCTCCAGGTGACGACAAGTATGGCAAGTTGCACTCGCCAATGCCTGCAATGCTTACCGCGCCCCTGCCCAAGAGCAAGGGAACGGGAATCCAGCCCGTATCCGAGCCCCACGGCTGGAAAAATCAGCGAACACGCATTACGGAGTTTTTGGCCACCAACGAGGAGCTGATGGAGCATGGCTTCCCCATTCACCCAGCTATGCTGAATCCAGGGGAGAAAAGAGACAAGTTCAAGGACCCCGAAGGCTGGGTACACACGAGGGTCGAGAATCTTGAGGATGGAAAGGTCCCCGAAGGCGAAGTGCAACAGGGCAGTGTCACCGCAGGCCGGGAAGTCTATGCCCTCGATTGCGAGATGTGTATGACGGGGGAAGCCGAGTATTCACTTACCAGAATCAGCTTGGTCTCTTGGGACGGCAGTGTTGTTCTTGACGAGCTTGTCAAGCCGGACAAGCCTATCATTGACTATGTGACCCGGTTTTCAGGTATCACCAAAGAGATGATCGACCCTATTAACACGACATTGAAGGATATCCAGGCACGCTTGCTCGACATTCTTGGTCCTCGCTCGATTCTCCTCGGACACTCGCTTGACTCTGATCTTAAGGCACTCAAGCTCGCTCACCCCTTCATTGTCGACACTTCGCTTCTCTTCCCGCACCCTCGCGGACTTCCTCTCAAACAATCGTTGAAGTACCTCGCACAAAAGTTCCTCAACCGGGAAGTCCAAAAGGGTGGTGGAACCAACGCCGGACACGACAGTATCGAAGACGCCAAAACGTGTCTCGACCTTGTCAAGAGGAAGTGCGAGAAGGGCAAGGCATGGGGTGCCGGAGAGAGCCAGGGCGAGAACCTCTTCAAGCGCCTCGCTCGCGCTGGTACGGCATATCGCTCGACCGCTGGGCCGGAGGCCACGGGCGGTGCTCCTGTCGGCAAGAGCAGCGCCGCTGTTGACTGGGGTGACGTAAGCAGAAGCGCCGGTAACGCCGCCACCGTCACAATTTCCTGCAAATCCGACGCCGAGGTTGAAGCCGGCATCCTCCGCGCGGTCAAGGGTGATCCCGACGGCCTCGAAGTTCCCGGCGGCGGTGTCGACTTTGTCTGGGCACGCATGCGTGAGCTCGAGGCCCTCCGAGGATGGTGGAACCGCAACAAGCTCGTCCCCGAGGACGCTGGCGGCCCGCCGGCTCTCACTGATGGTGATAAAAAGGAGGAGGAGGAAGAGCAGGAGGATGCCGCATCACCACTTGAGACCTGCCTGAAGACGCTCGGCGAGCGGTTGAAGCGCATCTACGACAATCTCCCGCCCTGCACGGCTTTCATCGTCTACACCGGCACTGGTGACCCGCGCGAGATGAGCCGGCTGCAGGCCATGCAGGCCCAGTTTAAGAAGGAGTACAACACGCCTGGCTCTAAGTGGGACCAGCTTAGTGTGCAATGGACGGACAGGGAGGATCAGGCTCTGCGTCGGGCTCTGAAGGTGGCGAGAAGCGGCATTGGCTTTATTGGAGTCAAATAGGCTCTGAGCTCTGGGCGTCCGAGTGGATGCTTGAGAAAAAAGATTTAATACCCGTGGGAGGTGGTATCAGGGTAGCTGTTGGCGTGAACATGGTTATGGATGGTAGCGAAGAGGTTATTAGATGACATCAAGACAGTATAGACCTTATGGCTTTGCTTGGTGCGTCAACGATGGTTTATGGAATATCGTCAAGGTACATACTTCGAAGCCTCGGGCTCTACGGACATTTATTTCTTTTTACGGAGTGCACCGTAAATTTAGTGAAAGCGACGTCTTGAGTCTTCAGCATCCATCACCAGTATCACAGTTCGTTAAGGTCCAGTGATACATGTGCGGTTGACCAAGAGCCTCGGCTTTGCACACCTTCATTAGATCTACTCTTCTATTCCTGGTTGACGGTACATACTCGCAAGGTAGCGATCCCAAACTTGTGTATATCAAAACGAGCGAGGTATGGCAAGGAAACGCAATGCAAAATCTTTCAGAAGCCTATGTATCGTATCTATCTATGTATGTGTTTGTGAACACAATCCGCTTTTCTCCGCTCACCGTCGTGAAGCAAGAAAGAAACACACGACACCCAGCAAATGCAAAACCAGACTCACCACTAACCGAAAAGCACCAAACCCCATCTTCGACTTTTCACTCCCCAACACAAGATATTAACAACCCCGACAAGCCAGCTACATTCGCTTCGTACAGCACTTAATATTTGTATATTCACCAAAACTCCCTATAATCATCCGAACATAGTGTACTCGTCTCACTCGAGAAGTAACCCTCGTCCAAGTCCTCATCACACCACTGCTGCTCCTCCTTCAAGGCCTTCTCCATTTCGACATCAACATCGTAGTAAACATCCTCCATAGCGTCATACCCGACCATCCACTCCTGAGCCTCTTCTTTCAGCTCCAACTCTGACTCACTCTAAAAATCAAACTCACCACGGAAGATCTCCGGATCCACGCCCGTAGTGACCTTCTCCGCCAGATCCCTCCGTCCCATCTGCGTGAACACGCGACGGAGAGTGTCGTAAAGGGTCGTGCTCCTGTTCTGCGTCATCATGTTATCGATACGCGAGTCGCTATCACCCGCATTGCCGCCCAGCAGCTCGCGCGCCTTCTCACGCCCGCTCTTCTCTACGGACTTGTGCATGTCCAGCGCCGCGAGCAAGTGACCCGCGGCCTCAGCATGGCAGCCGATGTTAATGCACGAGACGCCGAGGTTGTAGCGGGCGCGGACAAAGTTGGGGTGGATGGCGAGGGCCTTTTCGTATGCGGCGATGGCCTCCTCGGAGCGGCCGCTGTTGGCGAGAGTGGCGCCCAGCCGGTTCCAGAGCAGGTGGATCTGTTCGCGCTGGTTGGAGGTGCCGAGCTCGGTCGAGTGCAGCGCCGACTGGAAGCAGTCGACCGCCTTGTCGTAGTCCTCGGCGCCGTAGAACAGGACGCCTAGGCCGACCTGCACGTCGGGGTCCATGTGATCGCCATCGGGAGCGAGGCAGGCCGCCTCGAGGAAGAGGTTGGTGACGCGCTCGTGCAGCTGGGCGCGGTCGGTGAAGCCCATGTCGGCGGCCGAGGAAAGGTTACTGGGTGAGATGACGCTGGGGTACTTGGTCGACAGCCAGCGCTCGAGCGTGCGGTAGGCGGTGCTGTCGTAGCCCTCGTTGGTGTAGGAGACGGCTAGGCCCATCATAGCAGAGAGGTTGTTGGGGTCGAGCTTCATGGCACGCTCGAGAGCACGGATGGCAGCTTCTTCCTTCTCGTTCTGGGCTTGCGTCTGTCCGAGGTAGACCCACGCCTCGGTGTGGTCGGGGTTCTTCTGGACCGCAGCCTCGAAGGCCAGAGCAGCTAGCGACAGGTTCCCGCCCTCCTTCATGATACGAATACCCTCTTCGAATGGGTTTGGTGTCTCCCGGAAGAGGTTATCTTCCTCGAAGAGGTACTCTTGCACGATAGGGTCGGCGCCGAGCCTGCCGTTCAGCGTCCAATCTTCCTTTTCCAGGTTCTCGCTGTCGAACTTGGCGAAGTCGTCCTGGACATCAATCTCGTCCAGCTCCTTCATGGCGTCTCTTTCGGCCTGGATACCGCGCCAGATCGACTCGAGATCGCCAGCACCAGTCTCGGAGTGAAGTAGCGCCTCGTCCATCTTGTTGAGCTCGGGCTCCATGGCACGGGCCTCGTCACCATTGATCTCCAACTGAGCAAAATGCTCTTCCCACTTGTTCTGGTCGAGCTCAACAACCTTGCCTTTACCCTTGCCCTCGGGCTGTAGTTGTTGCTGGGGGATGTTGTGCATCTGAGGGCCGTGCATGCCGACCATGGGCTGGTACATGGGTCGCTGCATCATGTTGTAGTTCATGTTGCCCATACCCATCATGCCACCACCCATCATGGGGCGCTGAGCAGGCATCTGGCTGGCGGTGGCCGGCGCCGCGGCGGGGTGCATCTGCTGGAACTTTGAAAACTCATCGGCGCTGAACTGAGTGCCAGGCGGCGCATTGAAGGCGGCTTCCATAGCCGCCTGTGTGTTGTGGAAGTCCTGAGCCCATGCTGGCGAGGCGTTCGGGGCGCGCATGTGGGCGCCTTGGGTCGGGTCGAGATGAAGCATATGTCCTTGTTCGAGAGGCATATGAGCCATCTCCGGCGTTTGATTTAGGAATCCGTTCACCATCTGTTCATGAGAATCGTCATGTCAGCCAAGAGCGCATGCCTTGCCGTCAACAATATCCATGAAGATTCCTTACCTCATCTTGGCCAGGCCCGCGGTTGATACTCCGGAAGCCACCAACCGCAGCATTGGGACCTCTGTTGGCAAGTCTGTCATGTTGGAGGCTCTTGTCGTCTCCAACATGCTTGGTGAACTGACTGAGCGGGTTGCCCGCCGTCGAACACTCGGCTCCACCCATGAAAGACATTTTGAAGATGTTGGATATTAATGCGACAATGGCGATGTTTCGGCGAGAGTTGACAAGCCCAAAAGGGAAGACGAGATGCGCGGCTCTTGTACACTTTCTGGTAGACGAAGTAGAGCGATATGCGGTCGACTGTTGGGAAAGCAGCGGCCCGCGCAGGTTGTAGAGGCAGACTGGAAGTAGCGGTAGCTAGATTTTTGCGCAAGGCAAAGGAACGATGACTTTAGTTTGAAAGAGGAAAAGAAAATAAAAAACTGTGGAAGTAACAGACAAGCCAGGCACGGGCGTGGGCTCGTGGAGTTGATTAATTAGTGATCAAGCGGCGGTGTCCAGAAGTTGTCCAGGTGAAAGATTGAAAGAAGTTGACCGACTCTCGCGGGATGTGTGGCAGGTGTGCTGTCTTGTAAGTAACGACGGGAGCCCACGGATGCACGGGCGGGTTGTCTGGGTCCATGTGTGGATGGCAGCAGCGTGGTTAGAAATCGGGCTCTGCATGCATCTGAAGTGAGTTGGAACCTTGGGCGCCAAAAGCTCACTCAGGGGCACAAGGGGGGCACCGCCGTGCGCCACCTGAACAGCTGGAAATGCCGAGGCAGCCAGGGCACCTCAGCCAGCCATCATATCCACCGCGCTCTTGTTCCTTTTGGGCTGTGGCAGTTGCCGGCCACACCTCAGGCACTTGTTGGCCGCGGCTATTACTGGTAACCCCGCCAATGGAGTCTTGTCAACCACACCTCACATGGAGCCGAACCCCAGCCCGGCCCGTGGAGTACACCCCCGCCCCCGCCCCCGGACCCATCATCGATCCCTTCGTTCCTTCAAACGACAGCCGAGAACAATCGGACGACAGCGAAGTGCGGAAATCACACTCACATGCCGACAGCACGGCAATGCACGCAAGTTGAAAGGGAACATGAACAATCAAACGATGCTTTTCGAGCAGATGGTCACGTCACTCATACGAATGCAGAACGCAAAGAAGGCACACAAGACCACCCCTCTATTCGTACATATGTACAGCGATATAACCAACAAAAAATGGTAAACGAAAACAACTAGTCGCAGTAAGAAGAAAGAAGAGAAGATTTTTCGTAGTTGTACAGGTATCATTGCAAGCAAAAGGTCAGGATGATGTACGCAGAGTGATCGTACTGCAAAGGCGCCACAACACCAATCCCACAGTTTCCCAATCCCAATGTGCCCCAATTTTGGCAACATTTGTCAAGAAACACAACCGGCCTCTTTTCTTTTTGAAAACCGAACTTGCCCAGTTTTGCCCTCCATTACATCCGTTTCCCATCCTCTTCACCCAGTCATGTCGTAACCATTACATGCTAGTTTAGAAGTCGGTGGACTCGCCCTGGTCGCGGCGGTTGTAGTTGCGGTCGCCACCCTCGCGGTTGTAGCTGCGGTTGCCACCATCACGGTTGTAGTTGCGGCTGCCACCCTCACGGTTGTAGCTGCGGTTACCGCCGTCGCGGTTGTAGCTGCGCTGACCATCGCGCTGGTCATCACGCTGCTGACGGGGGCGGTACTCGCGGCGTTCGCCGTTGTTCTCACGGGGCTGACGAGCAGCGACGGGCTGAGCATAGTCAATCTTGATGGTCCTCTCGCCGAGCTGGGTACCCTGGAGCTTCTCCAAGGCGTTAACGGCAGCCTCAACGTCGACGAAGTCGGCGTGGGCGAAGCCACGGGGCCAGCCGGTAGCACGGTCAACGGCGACGCGGACGTCCTTGAGACCGTCAATGCCGACGAAGATGTTGTTCAGCTCGGCATCGGTGGTCTCGTAGGGGATGTTGCCAATGAAAAGGCAGGCGGAAGGCTCGCCAACGGCGCTGCCGCGGTTGACCTTGGCACGGCGGGGCTCAACGCTGATGCGGCGACCGTGCCAGAAAGAGCCGTCGACTTGGGAGCAGGCCTCCTCGAGGGCCTCACGGGTAGCGAAGGTGACAAAACCGTAACTGTGGACACAATCTGTTAGCGTAATTCACTGTGGGATAGGTAGAAAGGACTCCAAGCTTACCCCTTGCTCAAGCCGCGGGGATCACGGGCAAGGAAAACGTCGGTGACATTGCCGAACTTCTCGAAAGCGCCCTTGAGGTGCTCCTCGGTAGCGTCGAAGACAATGTTGCGGACGAAAGCGGCGTGGCCCTCAGTGGTGTCCTTCTGAACAGCAGCCTCCTCGGTAGCAGCAGGAGCAGTCTCGGTCTCGGTCTGCTCGGGCTGGGTGGGCTCCTCGGTGTTGAGGACACGGGGGGACTGAGAGAAGAAGCGGATAGCCTGGATTCTGCTGGAGACAAGAGCAGTGCGGGCAATGCTGGCGGAAAAGGACGCAGCAGGAGCCTGGGTAGAGATAGCCCTCGAAGCAGAGAGGGCGGATCTGAGAGCGGCACGACGGATGGACTGCCTGAATATAGGGATATCTGGTCAGCAACTGGTGTGGGATGCCGGTCTGCCCGTCCGATCCTTGACTGTTACGCCAGGAAAGATATTAAGCAACTCGAACTTACATTTTGAAGTATGGGGATGAGGATGAATGGATGGATGGGCAAAAAAGGGTTGTTGAAAAGAGGTATCGGGAAGACAGGAAGCGTTTGCCTGGAAAAGAATAAAAGTCAGTCGACCTCAAGGTCCCGCTCCCGAGTCGGGGTTCTCAGAGTGGACTCTCCACTGCCTATGGTTGGAGTGCTCTCATCCGCCGCTATCAGAAAATTCAAGCAGGGTTGAGGCGGCACACTGAGCTGCATAACCGATTGGACTAGCCGCCTTGGGAAAGGTTGCTATTACGGATAAGCTTATCGGACGTGTCCGACGCTGTGCAGCACGCGTCTGTGAGTGCAGGCTAAGCTGTGCAGTGTGTAAATCCCGTTGTTACTAACGGTTCTTTATCTATCGCTATCAGTCGTCCACTGTCAACTTCACTGCAAAAACACATCTCAAATTCACGATCACGACGTCGGTTTTCACACGGAGAATGACTTGGAGATTTACGCGCTCTAACACATTTGAACTTGGTATCATTTGAAGGTCTAGAACTAAAGCTTCCTCTATCAATTCGCAGGACATTTCCTAGGGCTGGCCCCATATTCCCTTCCCCAATGTTCTGGTCTGTCCCCACCAACCATACTACGTCAGGTTCATCATCCAAACCGACCGGATCACCACCGGTACCTGAGCGTGCTATCCGCCATGGTCCAACTCGCCATCAGCGGTTTCCAGAGGATTTTCAGCGTCGAGCAACATCACACCACCTCCATATCTACTCTCCGTTTTGGAACACAGCGCGCAGGTCCTCTCTGCCGCTGACGCTGCCAAGGGTTGGCCTCGTCGACTTCCGCAAATGCTGATGGCGATGAGATCTAGAGGTTGAACTGGGCCCTAGTGTCTTGGGACCCGAGTCGAGTTGATGGATTCGATTTGACGCAGTCTTGTTGGGCTCTGCGTTTCTGGGGATCGCAGTCAGATTTCGGTAAGTTCCTGACTGATTGATGCTGGGACCTCGATCCAGATTGACTGGATGGGATCTGAGGGGGTCGAATTCGAGGGATATGCCATGTCGCGAGGCTACCGGCTCCGGTTCCGTGATGATGATTTTGATGTTATTTCCATTCCTACGATTGTCACTTCGGCCCGTCCCAGGCTTTCGTTCTTTCCGTTCCTCGGACGCTTCCTGCTCACTGGTGTGGGCCAACAATCTCTCTTCGTCCGCCGTGTTTGTGGATAAGACGGTGGACGAAGAGGTCCAAAATGGGCGGTTCCGATTCTTGCGGAAGTAATTTGCCGGCGCGAAACGCATGTTGGGAGATATGCTTTCAACTGATGGCGAGTACGTATTGATGGTGTAGCTTGACGGATTGGGTTGTCCATCCTCCCTGATCTCAAGATCGTAATACTGACGAGATTGACTTCTTCTGCTATATATAATATAGCAAATAGCCAACAGGAAGATTATCGATCCGGAAATCGAAATGACAAGCGCAGGTCGGATAAGTCCCCGATGCTGGACGGAGTAGATAATTGAGAACACAATGAGCGAGGTCATCAAGGAGACCAGGGAGATTAAGAGTACCACCTCAACAGTCGAGAAGGGGCGATGGCCACCGATCTTGTGATATCCCTTTGCCGGGTATGAGATTCCGACCATTGTGGGAAGGCATAGCAGAAACTGTGTTCATCTGGGGAAGGAGCATCGACTGGCGGGAAGTGGTCATTTTCATGAGTGCTTGGAGTTGGGGGTGTTATAAACCCAAAATGTGGACATGCTCGCCAGGCCTCAACAACTCGTGAGACCGTGAGACAGTGCCCATGAAGGTGGCATGAGGAGTTTCCCTTCGGGTCAAGCGCGAGTGTGCTGCAGAGTGATCATTCACCTTTTCCACCGGATGAGAAGAGCAAATGACAACAATGACGCAGAGCAACCACATGGGCTATGTTGGTGCCATAGGGCTGGGTGGCTCTTTGTCATGGGACCAATGGGAGATATTGCACGTGCCGCGGCACCAACTACGCCCATGGCTTGCGGTACACTCGCCAGTTCAAGCGCGATCTTTTATACCTCAGTCTCATAGCTCGTACCAACAACCGTCAAGTAAAAAGGTCCTTGGAATGGGGCGCCATGCTGACAGGTTGCGTGCTCTTTCAAAAGCAGATGGTTGGACCCTGTCATCCATACTACGAGCACTCACCACCACCTATTTGATGGTTTGTAGTTCCCATACGTATCCGGGAAAGACTCTAATAACGGACATTGCCCACATCGGGATTCCGCTTACTCACTCCGAAAGGCAACCTCAAAGCTACAGTACTGCCAACCGCACACCATGACCGTTGCGACCGTTTCATGTGCCTCTTTGGGCTGTGTATGACTATACCGTCTTTAGTAGTGGAATATGCCCGATGGGTTGACGAACACCTATTCCTAATACGTCTTGATCCGGCTTCAACCCGCATCGAATTGGCAGTTGACTCCGCAGACCACGCCATGTTACTCAGGGTGTATATAAGCCTCTGGCTTATCTTACCATCCACCGAGAGTCACTGAAGCACAGACTACGCATTGCCATCGAACGATCATCACAAATTTGCTAATAAAAGCTTAACAGGAGGCCTTCCCCCTAACTATCGGACTCGATAGTAAGCACCGAACCAGATCTTCTCCGACTACATCCACTCCCAAGCTTCGAGCCCCCACGGGCATTTTATAGATTTCATTCAGGATACCTCCAAGGGTCAACCCTAACCCTAGTCACTCCCCCCCTTACGATCTCTTTACATGTGTAGAGTGAGTGCCAAGACAGCCCGTCGGCTCCGAAGGCTCCACAGTTGTTGGGCCGCGACTGCCCAGCTAGAGCAGAGTTGTTGCGGACACGTTGCGGTGTATCATATAGGAGGATCACGATAGTTATATTTTCAACAAGCAAACCAAACCATCAAGGGCGCCAATGGTCTAGTGGTTAGGATTCAACCCTTCCAAGGTTGAGGGGGGGGTTCGATTCCCTCTTGGCGCAACTTTTTTTCTACTTTTTGCTCTTGTTATCTGGACTGGTGATGACTTCCTTTTTGATCTAGTGTGATACTCTTCGTTTCCCTTCTTTTTGTTTCTTTGTATGCTAGTCCCAGGGAGTTTTGGAATTTCCTTCCAGTAAAAAAAGTTGATACTGGGAACATATCGAAAACGAGTGTCTTCGAGTTCGACTTCACGCGCTGTATGCACTCAAGCCCCTTCTGTTCTCAGCTTTGATACTTTGGAATCGATCACCGAAGACCGAACGCGGGATCAATGATGGTAAATCGGGGAAGTGTGTTATCTCTCGAACCCCAATCCCTTAGCTGCATTACCAAGACCACAAGAAGAGGGTAAGACAACGTTCATCTACCTCCTTGTGAGACGGATTTGCAGACATGGAGAACCAAGTTCGATATCTAGCTTCTCTCAACGCAAGAACATGCTTCTATGAATCAGTTCTTCTCGATGTTTGCAACCCGAAATCGGAATGAATTCTTTTAAGAGCTTTGGAGACTCTAAGAGAGGGCAACCCCATCCCAATCGTCAACTTACTTTTCCATCAACTGTCTCAAAGTCAGAACCCGCAATGCCAGGTGAGTCACCTGCACTTAGCTGGACACGTTTTTTTGGTGTCTTTCATGCTGTATGTATGTTTTGTCTCGCTGCTGTACTGAAAGATCAACGAAATCCTCCTGGCCAGGCGCTTATGCATGTCTATTTGTTCACTGGACATGATGTACAGTCACGCGAAGAGACACGAGGTCATGAGCCGGGTTGTTCCATGAAGTCAAGTGGTTCAGTGCAGCATGGGTGTCTTTCTCGTCCATTGGTATCCAGCCGCTTCTTCTTCCCTCCCGAGTTCTACCTTCTAGGTCGAGTACCTACTGAACAACACCATGCCCTCAACGTATGTTCTCTCTCTTTCCTTCCCTTCCTTTTCCTCTCGACTCACGAGACCTTACGTCCGAGAGCAACGGCACGAGATACAGAACCTGAGAGAACGAATGTTTACCCAGAGGTAGCAATGTCGGAATGAACGTCAAGGTATCGTGTCCGAACGGGCCAGAAAATAAACCTGTGCTGAGTGAGGGTGCTCAGCTTGGTCCAACGAGAGTACCTGCCCCTGGGTAACGGCAACAGAAACACCAACACCAAGCACAGCAGACACAAGACAGAACACACCCCTGTGTACCGTGGCCATGGTAAACAGGAAGGTCAAAGAGTCAATGTCACGGGGTTACAACGTCACGACTTCACTGCGTCTATGTCATGACGGGTGACTCGGCACGTGCGGTTACCCGGTTGTGTTGTGGTTTATGTGATTCAGTTGCCTAGGCACCTGTACCGACGGCACTGTAAATATTCACTCTGCTTGAGCTGGTTTGGAATTTTATGTTCTTTATATGCCTCATCCCCTACCCAAGGTTGACAAAAGGTGATACTAGGTAAGTAGTGTTGACAAGCCATCACGACGATTTCAGGAGCAAGAAGCATATCTAGGAAGGGTGGCAAAAATCCAATTGCCGACACTCAACCAGCCTCTGTTCATGTTAAGGAACATTGCCGCCGAACATCCATACTTGCCCGCCATTCGTGTATGGTAACCCAAGATCGTACATGATGATCCAGAATCGGTCCTGCCAGTTCACCACCTCTCGTACTCCTCCTGCTTCCCCTCTCCCCCCTTCTTCATGTTGCTGCTACTGCTTCTGCAATATCCCGACGGATGAAATGAGGAGTGGGAGCTGAGAAGTCATAGTAACAGCCGAGCTGCAGTGTTCACCACTGTCTGCCCCTGGTGTACAGTTACAGCTGGAGCGAGAGAAGTCACAACTACCGCCCTACTATCAAATACAACAACACCACTACAGCACAAAAAGCACAGCAGCTAGCATGCTGCAAGCAGCGGAAGAGAAATAAACGTACAGATGTACGAATGCACAAAAGTAAAGGGAAAGAGTGAAAGCGAAAAAAAAGAAGAAAAAAATGGTGGGCGATGTAAGGTAGGACATCATTCGCAACCCACACGTGGCGAAAGAGTAGCACTGCTTTTATCTCCATGTCCTCCCTGTCCTCCCATCCTCAATCCATTGCCCAATGCATTTGTGTTTCAGATGGCTACTACACCTGTATGCGGTTACACCTTGGTTCTCACATTGCACAAGTGGCTTGGGGCTTGGGGAGAGGTAACCTGAGTTGAGACCGAGAGGTCCAGCGGTTACGGCTACCTATGGCATACTGGACGTGGAAAGTTCCGTCTCCGTGGGTGATCCTTGGTGTCGAAGTGAACTTCTTGGCGCTTAGGAGAGGTAGTTACCTCTAGGTAGTATAGCAATACGTACGAAAAGAGTAATAAGAATAGCAAGTATCCTACTCCCTTTTGGTTGACTTTACTTCACTCTTCGTTTCAACTGTTTTTCCACTTATCACGCCCGTCTGGAGACTTGGAAACTCCCGGCTCAACAATATCTAGGTACCAGCACATACTTCTAGATACCGAGAATCTCGATATTTCCTCCCACCTTTCTCCCCTGAGGGAACAACGATCAGAGGCGTCGCTGTACACATACTGGAACGCAACCTGGTTGCGTCGGCGTCCAGGCGGGCAAGCACGCAACAGTAGTACAATCCGCGTTACACTGCGCTGTTACTGCTGCAACAATAAAACTCGGGCGAAAACCACATGCGTGCTACACATACATAGATATCATATAGCCGTCGTACTACATTGTGGCATTTCTGTTCCAGTCATCTCGGTCGTTATGCGGTGGGCCCGTGGAGAGTATTAGGTAGGTACCTCTACTCTAGATAGGGAGTGATGTACATGCAATACATTTCGTGGGGTCAGAATAAGTAGTTAGGAACCCTAACCTAGGAGACTGGGAAGAGGGAATTTGGATGTGAGTACGTGGTGAGATGGGATTATGTTGGGTACCTAGGGCGTAAGTAGAGGTAGGAATCAGGAGTAGGGAACTGACCTACCACAGTGGGAGTATAAGGAGGGTGTCCAGCCTTGAAAGGGGGGGTTAAGGGTAGTTCCAAATCTTAGAGCAGATAACTGGCCCAGCCTTGTTGTGAGATCTAGCACTGTTGGTTGAGGGAGGCCTCTGATTGGTCGAATTTGGGTGTAAAATGGCAAAAGCTAAAGACCCCTATAATGGCCTTCTATAATGGCTACTATAAGGGTCTTAATTTAGTTATAAACGGGTTAGACTTCGACTTCGAGGTCCGGGGCGCCCAGGGAGGTAGCGTAGTTGAGGCTACCTCTATTTACAACCGCGCGAAACTTTTCGTGCGAAAAAAAGCGGTCCCGAATTGGAATCGAACTAGCAATTATAAGAAAGAGAGCGACGACAGAAACTATTGAGCTACTAGCCCAATTAATTGATAGAGAGGTTCCTTATTTACGTTGATATAGGGAAATTAGGGGGGGGGGGGGGAACGGGTTAATAGGAAAGAACGACTCTCTCAACAACCTTACTAAATAGTACCTTACCTTAAGCAAGCGGAGTCGGGCCAATAAGAGCCCTACCTTAAGCAACAGTGCTAGGCAACTAATAGTGCTAGATTTTACAACAAGGCTTGTGAAGATTGCAAGCATTGAACCCCCCCAACAAGGCTTGATGCGCTGGTGATTTTCCCGCTATAGTAGGATATCCTGAGCTCGCAAGCTCTTGGACTTTAGCATCAACTTGGATCCTAAGTCTAGAAGATGACTGCAATCATGTTGCTGACCACTTGAATTTTTGGCGCAAGGACTGGCCGTTCAGTGAGATTTCTCTCTCAGCTATCCCTGGGGGAAAGAAGATAATGCCAAACACTTTGACGAGGACACTCCAACTTGACAGCAAACGCTTACCTAGTTCCTTCTCTTTCGATGATGTATTCGGACATGCCCCCGCATAATGCCACGATTGCATGAAACAACATCCACCCTATAGACCCAACCCAGGGGATAGGTCGATCCTCTGATTGTTCATATAGACAAGCAATTACCATGAAAGCTTGACCCTACTCATATACCCCATCAACCAATCGGGAAGCCGTACACCCCTTTCACTAGGACTTGAAGCTGGCAGTCCTGCTATTCAACATATTGGATCGAATCCATTGCCAAGGCTATGGTGTGTTCGTTCGGAAGAGCGAAAACTAGAATAAATAAATCAATGAACGAGTGAGACGAATCGGAGGCTGGAAGCTGGCATTAGAATCCTTGGCCCTCTCCAATGGAACTCTTCTTTTCTTTTCACTTTGAGACATATGTACACATGTTTTTGCTGCTATATCACATCGGACTTTTTTTTCTTATATTTTCCTTGACGAGACAGTTGTCTATTGTGACCGTACCTCGCTGCATTGATGCTGTTTTATCGCAGTATGGTGGAAGGGCGAGCGAGCTACATGGGTAGGTATTAGGTAGATGATGCAGTCAGTTGACCTCGCTCGCAAATCACTTCCTTGCGAACCGCATGATAGCTTTATGCCGGTGTGAGACATTGTTGAGCGTTTCTGTCTCTAACCCGTGCCTAATGGATATGGGCAGATGGTTAACGTGAAGACATTGGGATAAAGATACTTCGTAGTAACTGCAAGATCTCGACTGTGGTTAGGCTTATTATCGAAGGATTCCGATTTACTATTAACAGCGGAACGGCGCTCAGTATCGGTACCCGTACGCTAGATCGTCGTCTCGGGTCTGGTTGGTGGACTACATGAACGATGGCGCTTGTGAGGGTACTTCCAAAGTAGCCCCAGGTCCTGAGGCTTGGGAAAAGAAAATTTCTTCTTCTTTTTTTTCTTCTTTTCTTTTTCTTTCAAACGTTCCTCTCGCTCGCTTTCTCCCCTCCCCACTCGGGGGTGCCGCGCCGCCTGCAAAAGGCTCATTCCCGTCGGAACCCGGACGGATGAGCTCGCTTTAGCTTCGCCGACTCGGGGACCTATGTACAGTATTGTGTCCCTGGGCCGCATTAGGCAGGTCCCAAGAACTCTAGGCTCGTGGGGCGGCGGGCTAGACTGTTCAGTGTGATTGTGCGTCTTTTTTTCCTTTGACTTGACGATTACCGTCATCGAGATGAGCCATGTAGGTACCACTAGACCACCGTTCTTTTCGTCATTATGGATTTTTGTCTGCAGTTTCCCCATGTTCTCTTTGGGTATTTGACCATCGACATTCCAGGAACTGGGGAACGCGCTTTCCTGCTTGCTTGGTATCAGTTGACAGACAAGGCCTCTATTGGAATGTCGGGAAGAGGCTGCGTTCTTCCGTACTCCGGTTTTTGAGACAAGTTTCAGAGGACTACATGAGGTTTGTGGTTCGTAGCTACTCTGTGCGTGTAGAGGCAGATAGGAAACTGGGGGCCGTGAGCGGAAATGTGTAGCTGTCGCCAAATCAAAAAGTTTTGGGAATTTGGGCACCAATATTCTCCCTATCATCGCACTTTGGCAGGGCCAGCAAGTTGTATGGGTGTCTGTCCGAACCCACAACCTACAAGCTTCACAAGGCCTAGGCCGTCAGAGACCCCGGAAATAACATCAATTGTCCGTGAGTCTTCTGCGGCTCCCAGTAATTAAAATGTATGTCAAAGAGCTTTTGGGTGAGTGGTGAGAGACCTTTTGTTGGCCGTCTCTGGTCTTACACTAGTCTTTTGGAACAGGTTTGTGTGACTCCACCCGACTAGCAGAATCTTATCCCAGATCCAATTCCCATTGCCGTGATCCGTCAGAGCCGCGGCCATCGAAGACAGATACGAGAAACAAAAGGGTCGCGAACACGCAGATCCCGTCGAAAATGCGGTTGTTGGAAGTGGGGGGATCCGTTGACCCACATCTTTTGGGAGCCGCTAGAGTTGTGGACTATGTAGTGTACTGCGTACACAGTCTCGACGAGTAGCACTCTCTTATCACAGGCCCATTGAAATTCGAGCGCCCGGGAATAATCCAAGGGAGTCCGATTCCGTGAACGCAGGGGACGACGGACAAGGGGAAACGGCCCTGATGAACTGGGGCTCTGCTTCCAGGAAAAGCGCTGGGGGGAGAATATCCTGGAGAGAGTGGGTGATGGTTGTACTGTGGTGGGCCATACTGCATAGTAGACCGCGGGGGAGAAGCTCTGCCAATGTATTTGGATTTGCTAGTGCTAGCAGCTAATTTGAATTCGACCGAGCGAAATTGTTGATTGATTGGATAAAGATTCCGGTCTTGCGCCGATGGATTCGGAAAACTGCGATCAATGGATGTCTAATTGTCATGAAGACATTGATGCCCGGAATAGAGGCGCCAAGACTGTCAATGGGCTTGGAATGTGAAACTCGCAACATTGGAGTTGTTGTTGCTGCTGCTGCTGCTGTTGTGCTAAGAAACAGAAAAACCTCCCCATGGCTTCGTTGTCAGGACAGCGGTCGGAGAGACAAAAACGTGGGGTTGCGATCTCATTGCAGCGTTGGATCGTCCTTGACTGACAATGGGAATTGGGTGGGGGGTTTGACTTGCAACAACAATGAATGATTTGGTGAGAGTGAGAACACAAAGCAAGGGGAACTTTTGAAGAGAAATGTGAGCTGTATCTTGGTGGCCGGACTCGATGGTTACGACATATGCCAGGTGGGATTAATCTGTCTCGCAAAAAGTGTTGGCTGGCTGACACGTGTTGTTGAGGTGGCCCAGATGTGATCACTGTGATGTACCTGCGCCTGCAGCAAGAGGCGGGTCGGGGCCGGAGCTGTCAACGTCCATTGCTTGAGCGCACGTGTGCATTGCTCGATGTATAGCGGGCGGTGAAGACAAGTTAGGTTTTGTTTCTCATGCTATACACTACGCTGTACGTGCCAACTGTCAACCTACAAGTTGTTGACTTTTTACAGTTTCAGAGCTTCTCTTTGTGTGCTGCATGTGATGGTCACTTTGTAGTGCAGGTAATGGTACCTACGGTAGGGTTAAGATAGGTAGGTACCTAGGTAGTGTATGCACGGAGAATGCACCTGCAGGGCTTCACAGTTTAGGTTGCCAAGTCGACCTGAGTTCCGTACAGTAACAACAGGACTGCGGGGGCCGAGAGCTGTGATTGCCGCGCTTGTTTCTCGACCGCATCACCGTCCACCATTGAGGATTCGGGTTTGGTGTGATGGACTTTAAAGTCAATGACACTCGTGCCTGCTGTTCCATTTCAACTCGAATATGGCAAAGTGAAATCTACCCCTCTAGAGACCTGACGATTAACGAGAAATCGACGAGAGAACGACGAGAAAGCCACGTGAAAGATTTGACTGCTACCCTCCAAGTAGCGTGCCAAGTGCACACCCATCCCCCCAACACCCATGCCCTAAAGTGGCACCTCTTAAGGAGATCAGCAGATCAGTCACATCAATGCCGCCCTATTGCAACCCCCAAGCCATGTGTTTCGCGCGCTACCGTGTGTATCGCACCTAGCCTATCTCGAGTTATATGGGTGAGCCGCAACGTTGGCGGCTGTTTGGTAGCCATGGCACACATTTGGGCCCCCTTGGGCAGGTTCTGTATCTGTTTGCGTGTGATTCCAGAGCACAGACGGGGCCGGAAATGAGGAATCCAGTTTCTCGCTGCGTGGTCTGTGTCTCGCTCTCTCCAGTCCGTCCCGTCTGTTCCCGTTGCGGTGCTGGTGTCGCTTTTGAGCGCACGCCCCGCGAACTCCTCCTTTGGCGCAGTGGTTCCTTTGAGTAATGAACCTCGCTCCTATGATGGAGTAACCATTTTCTTTGATGGCTCCTCACCCTTGCTCCTCTTTTTCCACCTGCAGGCGCCGAGTCAACATCGGGCTGGATGACGCGATGCCAATGGGCGGGGTCATCCTGTAGCCTTACCCTGAGTTAAAGACTGTTGAACCAGCCATCTATCTGAGGGTTGTCAGCTTGAAGGGCCACTCAATGAAGGACAAAGGCAGCTTGATGATTTGGGGGCTCAAATCAGAAGTCCTAACCACTTCCACTTTGGCCGCATTCCCATTTTCCAAGGGACCACCAGTACATAGTACACTAGGTGCATTGTGTACAGTGCTGGGCCCGGCTGTCACGCCCAAAACACCTGACCCGTGGCTCGGCACGTGTATCTAGCTACCGCGGGGCTAGCAGACTAGGGTGGAACCAGCAAGCCTTATCGGCAGTGTTTCGGTCGCATTTTCCCTCAAATCCCCTCCAAATCGTCTCCAAATGGACCACCATAGCTCCTGCCAATTCCGGAACGCAGTTAGCGGACCCCGTTGAAGATACACGCACTACTTCAAGTTGTGCGGTACTCAGGGACGAGCCAAGCAAATCACGGCTCGGCAGTGCGCAGTAGGTAGCCAAGGTACCCAGAACATGAGACGGACATGACTGACATTGGACACAGTGGGACAATTGGCGATGGTTGTGGTTGGGTTGGGAATACCAAATAACAACAAGAACGGCCGCTTTTTCACCGTGATTTCAGCCATTGTCCTTCCCGTTGGTGCAGTGGTGTGGTACGCTACTAGTAGAGAGCTACCTAGGTCCAGGGAGGTCAGGGACGCGCAAGAGGAATCGCGGAGATGGATAGCACCGGACCACCTATTGTGGAAGTGTGAGGTTGGGTACCTACAGATGCTGCCAATATAGCAAGGTAGTATGTACAGAGGTACTGCTCTTCCCTTGTACTAGCCTCACCGTGTCCTCTCGTCTGAATCGAACACAAATTCCCGTTCGCGTCGTGTGGGGAGCGAGCCGTTACCCAGGCCAAGAGATATCTACACTACAGGTATGTACCCCTACTGCGACTCGCGAGAGGAATGAGTGCCCAGTTGATTTTTAGGCTATGTTTCATGCGATACCGTGGATGGCAGAGATCCAGAGGCGAGGAGAGCGCGCAAAAATGCATCATCACGTATGTACCACGTTGCTGTCGAGTTCCCGCATCTACCTCTACACCCGACACTACGTGCGCATCCAATTCTAACCTCAAGGTACAGTACCGACCGTTCCTGCCATGCTCCGACGGTTGGTCTGCCATCATGATGTCGCCCCCATGATAGTATCGCACTGGGTTGATGCTGCTATATCACTGCTACTACTGTTGCCGCTCGCTTCACCTCACCTCATCCAGACGGGAGGAGGCATGATTGAAGAGAGATGGATGGGACGGCTTTAGCATTAGTTGGTACCTGTAGCTGGAGATGTGCACCGAGTACCTGTACCGACGGGTAGGCACTTGTACCTCTACATCATTTGGAGCCCATCGACCTATGCGAGCTAGGTATGGCACATCGAGACACATGGGCTGGCTGCATCCATCCCACCAGCCAATCCCATGGGCCGACCACCATGTCCCTTCCATGATGTCGAGCCATGTCCCCCCCCCCCTTCCAGCGGGCCCCTCTATTGTTGGCACGGCCCCCCCAGCGCAGTTCGTGCTAACCTGCCCTGCCATTCTCTGAAAAACGTGCTCTCCCGTCTCCGGCTGCCCTGGCGCTCTGCCCGCTGTCCGCCTGCCTGCCTGCCCGTCTTTGCGTCTGCCGGCTCACCTTGGCTTCAGGCTTCTCGCTGCTTTCCATTCCTCTCCCGCCCCCATAGAGGTAGTGTAGGTCTCCCACCCAATCCATCCATCCACCTCATCGCATCCCGTTCAGCCTTCAGCCAGACCTGACCAGCTCGATCCCCGTCCAGACCTCTCCCGCTTCTCCGCTTCCGCCTTGACTTCTTCCTACAACACAACCTCAACCTGAAGTGTGTCGGATGGCCAATGTCTCGACCGCCTTCGACTCCTCACTTGGAATAATCCGTACCACTCTCGCTTAGCTTTCGTCAAGTCTGCTCTGTGCACCCTTCCGCAACCGCGCGAGAGACACCACACACAGAGAGGAAAAACAGACAAGAGACGGACCGTCGCAACCATCCATTGGCTACGTACCCGGTCCTCTCTTTTTTCGAGTCCGCCATCCGCCAACTCGCACGTTCGCGACTTGCACTTTGCAAGTCCCAAACTCGATCCCGCCCTAGGCGTCAGTTGCCATCCGAGTTCTTCATTTCACCTTGTCGCGAGACCTACCTTACCTATAATCACCCAAGGTACCTGTATACCTTTTGACCGAAAGTCTCGATTACTGCTTTCATCCATATCTAGAGTACTGCTCTGTATATCCTACCACCCCAACCTGGAACCTCGATCTCGAACCACGGACTTCTGCCATCTTCCTTTCCCGGACGAGTGTGTGGCTACTGAACAGGACCCCCTACGACCTTTATTGGTCGGCCCAGACAGAAGAAGAAACGAACTCGGTGTATCATGGCTCAACGAACAAGCTCGCAGAAGCTACCTCTCGGTCTTGCGGGCGTGCTCAACGCACCCGAAGACAATCGAGACTCGGCTTATTACTCTGCGACGGATGCCTCAAGCAAGCGTCAGTTCCGCTCCGTCGCGCCGCCCTACAAATCTCCTCTTGATCGATAAGCTAACTTGTGCCTAGACACGTCGGCAGCATCAGGCGTCGGTGTCTTCACCCCCAACGGCTCCAACTTCCAGCCGTCTCCGATCGACAAGACGTCCCCGTCCCCCACGAACACATCGAACCTTCAGCCCCCGCAATCGCATCTTTCGTCCGTAAACAGCAACATGAGCGTTGCCTCCATGGTTTCCCCCACAACACCGGGTAGCGCAGACCCCAAACGCTTCGACCGGCCTCAGTCCTACGAATCAGGGCCCAATGGCGCCCCCTTGACACTCAATAGTGACTTGGAGGCCATGTCTAGGAGAGGAAGTTGGGACAGCAGACATTCCCTAAATCAGGGATTTAACGACATGCGGCTCGGAAACTCGCCATACGCGAGCCAGAACCAGTCGACGACATCAATTCATCAGACTCTACAGCAGCAGCGTAATCCGCGGTCGGACATGAACGCTCTTACCAATCACCGCATCTCAAATGGCTACCAGCCAAGCGCTGACCGGAATCCAGATGGGCAAAGCAGGACGAGGGTGGCGCCCACCATTACTGGGCCGGCAACGAGTCAGATTGCTCGGGCTGCTGAGCCTACTAAGGGCCAGGCGTGGGCTTTCCCAGAGGAGGAGATACAGCGCGTCACTTCCTCCAGTCAGTCTCTGATCGACTCTAGGAGGAGCAGCATTGCTGAGTCGCTGGCGAGCAGCCACTTCACCATGGACAGTAGGCTGCCATCAGGACAAAGACGTCTTGATGACAACTACCCCCATAGGCTCTCTAGTGTATCTGCGGATTTTGCGAATCCGACCGTGCACCACCACCATCACCACAGCCTTCAACACAGAGCAATTAGTGATCTGCAAAACGAGGAGGGCGGCTCGCATGCTGGCTCTCAGCCGTACAGCAGGACACCCGAGTTGCGTGTTAGTCACAAGCTGGCGGAGCGCAAGCGGCGTACCGAGATGAAGGAGCTATTCGAACAATTGAGGGATTTGATGCCTCAGGAGCGTGGCTCCAAGGCATCAAAGTGGGAAATTCTCACAAAGGGTTCGTGCCGCTACCCGCTTATATTCTCGTCATGATTTCAGCGAACTGACCAGGTCACAGCCATTTCCGAACATCAACGCATGAGCAACCACATACAGGTGTTGACGTCGACGCTCCACAACAAAGATCGCGAGATTGAACATTTGAGACACGAGCTCCAGCGAGCCCAGATGGAGGCCAATAGCTTGAGACGGTCACAACCCACTCCTATGGGCGAAACCTACGGTTTTGAGAACAGGAGGTCCCAACAGGAATTGCCACCACTACGTACTACCCTTCAAGCTGCCGCAGCTGCCCCAGCACCAGGACTTGACGCCATGACCGGAGTCCAGTATGAGGCACCTCGAGTGAACGGTTTCCGCCCTCCCGAGCCGAACAGATTCTAGGAGATTATTCTAACCAAGACATCGATGAGCCGAGCTTCATTACACTCTTCAATGCACTCTTGCACGCGTTCGCTGCGTCACTTGAGAAGAAGAAGTTCAGTGTAACAGGCTCCCTCTGATGTACAGTTGCGGCACTGGCCGTCTTTGTGAGCCCTACTCACGGATGGCACATATGTTCCTTCTGAGGAACCTTGCGACATGTCTTGATTATTGTTGCCTCAGGGAGGAGAAGTTGGAGTTGCGGCGATTGCTCCAGGCGTGCAATTCCACTTGCGCCCAGCTTTAATCCGTTATTCCGCTAGGGCTTGAACAAACAAAAGAAGGCATAGCTATTATCGACAGCGAAGGTATGTCTTTCATGACATCTTGCCTCTATATTTCGATTCTCGTCATCTGGTTCGCCAAAAATTAATCTTCGTTATATGTTTCACTGGGCCATGGGATTCAGCGAGCAAAGCGGTCGGGATATGGGTGGCTTGTTTTGCGGTTTCGATGGGAACTTCCTGATTCAAAGCCAGGTTGAGTATACCCATGGCTTTTTTTGTGTGCATCCATTCAGGGGATGCTCCTCCTCCAGGGAGCCCGCTTCTTACTTTCTCTTTTTCCATTAGCTGTGCACCCAGGAAGGTTTCGGCGTTTCATGAACTCGATGGGGATTCTGTAACAGGTGGAAATTGGTGTACGAATGCGGAGCTTCTGTCTTTTTCGCCGTTCTACTCTTGACGGTCGGCATGGTTGTCGTTATGTGATCTTGAACAGTAACGATTTGCTGAAAGGTACAAGCGCGGTCGGGCCAAGAAAGAAAGAGGGGGGGAAGGAAATGAATTACGGAGCTATGGCTATGGCTGTGAAGTGCGTTGAGGAAAGTGAATTAGGAATGGGAAAGAAAGGCCGCGCGCGGAAACCAACCTGGGTCCGGGAATTATATAATCGTGGACTGGAAATGTGAGAGAAGAGACACTACCGAGAGAGTGAGAAAGAGATAGGTCCATCGTCTCAGGGGAATTTGTAGTGGAGAGTACAACGACGAATGCGTTCCAAGGCGCTGAAAGCTACCTAGTCAATGGGGATCTGGACTTGTCATGTTACGAACCTTCACTACCTTCCCGTCACGGTAGCAAACAGAAGCAAAAGGCTACCATGGCGATACAATCTCGTTGCGCGCTTTGGTTCCCTTCCTGTTTTTGCCAATACCAAGGATCGTCAAGCATGGAAGGGATCGTTACATAATCGATAGCCCCGGGGCCCTGGTTCTAGATCTCGACACTTGGCTAGCCAAGAGCAAAATGTATGTTTGCTTTTTTCAGCCTGCTGAATCGAGAATACTGTCAACATCATCTGGCATTATACTACTACTGTGTACTGCACTTTGTACACCAGCCGTAGTCTCTCTTTCGAGCTTTTGAACCACCAGCCAGCCCAGTCGGCCAAGCCTGTCGGCATTTTAAGTCATATCATATTAAACAAAAGGGCATCTGATCCTCAAACATGAAGGAACAAGTAAACGACTATAAACAACATTCAACCCACAAAATCGCACGTGGCAAACATGGTTGTCTTTTTCTTGATTTAGCTTTCGATCAATAACATGGAAGCCTGCTAAGATTAGGTAGCTGGGCACATCAGGAACATCAGCACATGGCATGGTCCATCGGGAACCGGATGCAGGGTGTGACGGTTTGCGACGTGGGAGTCGGGAACCTGTAATAGGTCGGATCATGAATAAATTGTCGGACTTCTTCTCCGGGGGGATGCGATGAAATGCAACTCGGTGTGCTGATTCGTCTACATAGTAAGACGACATGATTCAGATGCAGGGAGGAAGGATATGGGTGTGTGAACAGGCTGAACGGGACAACGAATGAATCGACTACTACGATGATGATGATGTAGTGTATTGAGTAGCGTAAGAGGTTAGACTAGACTGTGCACTGCAAGTCTGGAGCGAGGTCTTGGAAATAGGGCAACGAAGGGACCATGGCTGGGCTGGGCTGCACGTGACACGGATGATGATCATGGTGGGATGAGATGGATACTTACACTTAAGTAGTCCCCGATCTTTCGTCGCGGCGAACTCGGAGGGTCATCATCATCAATGCTGCCGTGTTATCGAAACTTGAGGAGGTATATGTTCTTGAAGCGACGAACACCTCAGAAGTACCTACGTACACCCGCTATCCAGGACTGAACATATATTCAATCTTATAATTCCTGTCGGTGTTCAAAAACCAGGTATCCTCTTGGCTCCTTCAAAAGAAAGCAGCTCGGTATGAAGAAACCGTAGCACTGCCACAATGAAGACGGGACGGATGGAGTTTCTGCTGGAGTCGCGGAATGTGAAGTCTTTTCGGTACTTGCAAGCTCTCTTCCGTTTCGGAGATTTTTGTACAATGGGATGCATGGCGCAGGGTTCTAGGAAGATGTGCACCCATTCACAAGGCATACAAATGCACAGTGTACTTACCTTGATAAGCGCACAGTTAATGCAGGGGCCGACTGAGAGTGCGTCGTCAGTCCCACGCTGACATGGCGAACCGGAAAATCAAGGTCGCCGCGGTCGCTAACAACAACTCACTGCAGCGCAAAGACAACGAAGTGTTGTATCTAACTGCGTACGTACTGTGGATAAAGCAGTCAAGATCGGTTGAATCTGTCTCAGATTTGACAACCTCGACTCCGTGATCGATCGTCGTTACCAGTGGCGACAGGAAGCGATACTAACGATGCGACGACGATGCGACAAGTGACCGAGTGGACTCCTGACAGGATGATTCGGGGTCTCGGGCTGCGTTTGAGGCTAGACCTGTCACTGCAGAGACACTGCCATTGGCCAGTCCTGGGCCGGTCGCTGCGGCACCAAAGAGGTGGTCCCTGCCGCTTATTACAGTATAGCCCTTCAAATCTTCATCTTTTGAGTTCTTTTGACGCAGATAGGTACACTACACTACGTACTTCAGTTGGCTTACTTGACAAGCGAAAACATTGAAAGACAGACAGATAGAAACAGATGTTCGAAGGAAGTAAGGGGGTAAGGAAGAAAGCAAGCGCGGCTCGACAAACTCGTCTTGGGCCTTCACGTTGGGATGAAAAATAAGCAGCGGCAGCGGCTATGCTGTAAGTAGCAGCGGCTGTGGCTTCAATGCAATTGGGGAAAGAGGCTCAGGAGGGAACTAAACTCAGCTGTGTGACTGGGTGCGGCAGTGACGCTTAGTTCCAGGGCAGCAGCCAGCCAGCAGATGCGCGGTTACCTTCCATTGACTGGTAGTGTACACTCACGCAAGTGGACAGCTCCTTGCAGAGGGGTTGCGTGGTGTTGCAGCAAGCGAGGCAAAGGAGATCCCCCAGATCCGGATGTGCCGCAGTCCGAGATGGGCCATCCAAAGGAAAGAGACGAAACCGAACTGGCGCACAATGCATCAAATCCCCAGTTCTCTGAATCGCGGACGGGACGGAGGCGGTGCACAGTGTTGCCTGGCTGCTGACTCTTTCAAGTTTGGTTTGGTTGTTGGTAAAAATTCGTAATGCTCTGCTCTTTCCCAAGTGGCTCCATGCTGTACGTCTAGTGTAATCGACCCCTGGTTCGTCAGTTCTTTTGTTGTTGGAAGCGGGACGTTGGACGGAAGGGGCGCATGGTAACGGAATGAATAGGAAGGGCCAAGCCTTGGAGTGGTCATCCAAGGTTTATGATGTTTGCAGTCGTCGTCATCATCATCGCCGACCTCCATCTCTTAGTTCTCGTTGTTTTTCTCTCTTTTCTGGTTTCAACCACTCTTTTCCCCTTTTCTTCAATCCATCAACTCGTCACTTTTCTTGGCTCCTCAGTTTACGTCGCCTCTTTGCACGTTCGCTTTTCAAAAGCCGTCTTTTTTTTGGTCTCAATACCACTATAAATACCCCCTAAACGCAAGGAGACATTCGCTTCGCCAGTATTATCTCCGCCGATCGTTTCAGTATTGAGCTTTCTGGATGAATACGCTACGATAGTCTGCTTTTCGACTCCATTTCAGGCTGCAGTGTCATCGGACAGTCAGTCGCCTCCCGGCTGCACAGCTTGCGTTACCTGGCTGCGTGACCTCGGCTGCCTCCATTAAGCTCATCTCGCCTCTCCTTTTCATCACAAAATCGTTCTTGTGGGTTAGGTTGGACTGCGACAAGTAACCGTCGACTTACTTTTTTTTTCTCCCCAATAGCCTGTCATCATTTCGCAGTTTTTGTTCTTCGCGCAGTCGGATTCCAAGTACGAAGAAGCATCGGCGCTTAAGCCCTCCGAGACACGCCGGCCTTTTCTTGACCGGACCCAACTCACCGGCCCTTCCGTTCGGACTCCCCGACATTTGAGAGGAGCCGCACCTATCCAAAGTCGAAATCGCAAACCATCGCAACCATGAAGGGATACACATCATCTGCCCTTCTTCTGGGCCCTGCGCTGCTCTCTCAACTTGCCCTAGCACAGCAAGCACCAAGCGGCGTTGTCCATTGGGGCATCCAGAAAAGGCACGCACCCAACGCACCAAACCGGCTTCTAAGGCGGGCCGGCCCGACGCACCAGGCAATTCTTCAAAATGAGCAGGCCCGAGGAGGATACTTTGCGACATGCGAGATGGGGACGCCTGGGCAGAAAGTGACGTTGCAGTTGGATACAGGCAGTAGCGACGTATGGGTACCGGATTCGACTGCATCAATTTGCAATAAGGGCGCGTGTGATCTGGGAAGTTGTATGTGACCTACCGCTCCCTTATACCTGAGACGGCGTTGATGCTAACTAACAAACGTATTAGTCGACCCAAGCAAATCAGAAACATACACGGTGGTAGGGCAAGGTGAATTTGACATTTCATATGTGGACGGCAGTTCGTCCAAGGGGGACTATTTCACCGATGTTTTCAATATTGGCGGAACAACGGTCACCAACTTGACAATGGGCTTGGGAGCTCAGACGGATATTGCGTATGGCCTGGTGGGTATCGGGTATGCTATCAATGAGGCCATTGTGGGAAATAGCCATTCCCTGAGTTCCCAATACCCCAACCTGCCCGTTGCCATGGTCGATGATGGGTTGATCAACACTATCGCGTACAGCCTCTGGCTGAACGATCTTGGTATGTATAGCGCCTGTTCCTGTTGACACTGGCGCAAAACTGACAATGTGCTATCACATAGATGCGGATGAAGGCAGTATTCTCTTTGGTGGCATCGACACAAAGAAGTATAAAGGCGACCTGACGCGAATCAGAATCTACCCTAGTAGTAACGGCTACTACTTCTCCTTTATCGTCGCCTTGACATCGTTACAAGCAATTAGTCCTAGCGGTAACGACACGCTTACCTCTCAGGAGTTCCCCATTCCGGTAGTGCTCGACTCGGGTACGACCCTGTCTTATCTGCCGCAAGACATCGTGGATCAGATCTGGCAGGAAGTCGGTGCAGAATACTCTGATAGGCTTGAGTTGGCTGTCATTCCCTGCTCGAAGAAGTCTAGTAACGGCTACTTTTCCTTTGGGTTTGCCGGCCCTGACGGCCCTCGCATCACTGTGCGGATGGACGAGCTGGTCCTCGATCTCACTAGTGGAGACCCTCCGAAGTACACGAGCGGGCCGAACAAAGGTCAGGATGTATGCGAGTTTGGCATCCAGAATTCTACCTCCGCGCCATACCTCCTTGGCGACACCTTCCTGCGGTCGGCATATGTGGTCTACGATCTGGTCAACAATGAAATCGCCTTGGCGGAGACGGACTTCAACTCGACCGAAAGCAACATTGTGGCGTTTGCCAGCATGAGCGCAACGATCCCGTCAGCAACACAGGCGCCAAATCAAGCGGCGGTCACCAATAGACCCGTTGCAACTATGCCATCATTTGCGGCGAGTTCAGGATTCTCGGATACTGGTGGCTCGGGCAACGATGGTAAGGACGAGAATGCATCGGCAGGCATGCCAAGTGCATTTGGTGTCGCTCAGATGTCTGTGATGGGTATTGCCATGGTGTTTGCCATGATTGGTTCTGGCGTATTCGTCTTGCTATAGGCTCTGCCATTGCATTCGGTTGGATTTGGATATGGCATTCCTTTTTTTTCTTTTTGAGTTGAAACGCAAAGAACAGGATGATGACGATACCCCGACGGGCGTAGCGTTAGGTGAAAGAGTATTCGGTTTTGTTTTTGGATGGATCCTGAACATTACTCATTCATTACCTAGGACTTGGGTAATTTGTTTATCCTATGGTCGGTACCTACTTTACTTGGACTAGGCATCATGAGTTGAAACAGTGAGGGATGGCAATTGGGTATGGTATTGAGCTACTGTTCTGTTTGGAGTGGTTTGTTTATAGTGCTGGTAATGCATGATCAGTGTTCAACCTTCAACGAGTGTCGGATACTAACTGTCCCAAGAAGATCAAGCCAGTGAGGTTGTCGATGTGGGTTCATCGTGGCACGCTTCAGTTGATGATAGTGTATGGACCTTGACGGTTCTTGGGGAGCCGTGGATGGAGTACCCAGTCAATGGACGCACGCCCCCAAGATTTAGCGCCATGGTACGTCAGGTCCCTAGCAAAAACAAAAGGACCCACTTAAAAATTTCGTGGGCAATGCGTTAGAGTTCGTCCCGACTCCCGCCGTCAGTTGCTGCCGCATCCGCATCCGCATCCCGCATCCTGCCCCGTGCTTCTCCTTTGGAAACTTTAGGTAGTTTTCCAAATCCACGGCACCACTCATTCCTCCCCACCAGTCACTCCTTTTTGTCCCCTCCCCCTTCGCTGCGTGTGAGTGAAGATGAGGGTGATTCGGGCTGTTGCTACTCTCCACGCCGGCCGCGCTGCCGCCGTGCGCCAGGGTGTTCGCTCCGTCAGTCTTGGAGCATGCCGCGCCGCCGTTGAGACGCCGTCCCTCCGGTGGACTGGCTCCCAGTTCGAGAGCCGCCGTCTGTTCAGCAGGTCCTCCTACCTAAGGAATGCCAACATGACTGCGGCCGAGATTGCGTAAGATATTTCCCGTGAAACGAAGGCTGTCATGGCTGGCGTCATGGCACCGGGCAGCATGCCACAGCAGCAGACCCGGCTGACAATACGCGCTGCATTTCTCTAGTCTCAAGCAGGCCAAGGAACTCGCCGCTTCCAACATGACCCCCGAGGCCGCTGCCGCCCGTATGACCCCCGAGGAGGCCAAGAGACTGGCCCGTGTCCGTAACATTGGTATCGCCGTATGTGAACCCCAAACGCGCCCGAGATGAAAGATAAAAACTGAGGACAGAGGACGGGGATAAAAGCTAAACAGCTAGCCATATACAGGCCCACATCGACTCCGGCAAGACCACCGTTACCGAGCGCATCCTTTTCTATACCGGCAGAGTCAAGGCCATCCACGAGGTTCGTGGTCGCGATGGTGTTGGTGCCAAGATGGACTCCATGGAACTCGAAAGAGAGAGAGGTATCACCATCCAGTCTGCCGCCACTTTCGCCGACTGGAAGAAGAAGGAGAAGGGCGTGGAGGAGACTTACCACATCAACTTGATCGATACCCCCGGCCATATCGACTTCACCATCGAGGTCGAGCGTGCCATGAGAGTCCTTGACGGAGCCGTCATGGTTCTCTGCGCTGTTTCTGGTGTCCAGTCCCAGACCATCACCGTCGACAGACAGATGAAGCGCTACAACGTCCCCCGTATCTCTTTCGTCAACAAGATGGATCGTATGGGTGCCAACCCCTGGAAGGCCGTCGAGCAGATCAACACCAAGCTCAAGATTCCCGCCGCTGCTATCCAGGTCCCTATCGGCTCTGAGAAGGAGCTCGAGGGTGTTGTCGACTTGATCGACATGAAGTGTATCCGTAACGACGGTCAGCGTGGTGTCAACCTCAAGATCTCCAAGGAGATTCCTGCAGAAATCAAGGAGCTTTGCGAGCAGAAGAGACAGGAACTTATCGAGAAGCTCGCCGATGTCGATGATGAGATTGCCGAGATGTTCCTTGAGGAGCAGACCCCTACCCCCGAGCAGATCAAGGCCGCCATTCGCCGCGCTACCATCGCCTGCAAGTTCACCCCCGTCCTCATGGGTTCCGCCATTGCCGACAAGGGTGTCCAGCCCATGCTTGACGCCGTTTGCGACTACCTCCCCAACCCCAACGATACCGACAACACTGCCCTCGACCGCTCCAAGGGCGAGCAGCCGGTCAAGCTCGTCCCTTACAACTCCCTTCCCTTCGTCGGTCTTGCCTTCAAGCTCGAAGAGAACCCTTACGGCCAGCTCACCTACATGCGTGTCTACCAGGGTTCCCTCAAGAAGGGCGCCTACCTCTACAATTCCCGTGGCAACAAGAAGGTCCGTATCCCCCGTATCGTTCGTATGCACTCCAATGAAATGGAGGACGTCAACGAGATTGGCGCCGGTGAAATTTGCGCCGTCTTCGGTGTCGACTGCGCCTCTGGTGATACCTTCACCGACGGTGGTCTCCCTTACTCCCTGAGCTCCATGTACGTCCCCGACGCCGTCATGTCGCTCAGCATCAAGCCCAAGCGCTCCAGCGACGCCGACGCCTTCTCCAAGGCCATGAACCGCTTCATGCGTGAGGATCCCACTTTCCGTCTCCACGTCGATGAGGAGTCGGAGGAGACCATCATCAGCGGCATGGGTGAGTTGCATCTCGAGATTTACGTTGAGCGTCTCCGCCGTGAGTACAAGGTCGAGTGCGAAACTGGCCAGCCCCGCGTCTCTTACCGCGAGACCATCACCCAGAAGGCCGAGTTCGACTACCTTCTCAAGCGCCAGTCCGGTGGCCCCGGTGATTACGCCCGCGTCGTCGGCTGGATCGAGCCCAACCCGAACGGCGGCGAGGACAATCACTTCGAGTCGCGCGTCGTCGGCGGCACTATTCCCGACAAGTACATCTCTGCCTGTCAAAAGGGTTTCCAGGAGGCCTGCATCAAGGGCCCCCTGCTCGGCCACAAGGTCATCGGCTCCTCCATGGTCATCACCGACGGTGCCACCCACGTTACCGATTCGTCCGATTACGCCTTCAACCTCGCCGCCCAGATGGCCTTCGGCAAGGCCTTCACCGCCGCCGGCGGCCAGGTGCTCGAGCCCCTGATGAAGACCACCATCTCGGCCCCCGCCGAGTTCCAGGGTAACATTCTCATGCTGATGAACAAGCGCGGCACCATTGTCGATACCGAGGTCGGTGCCGACGAGTTCACCATGGTCGCTGACTGCTCCCTGAACGCCATGTTCGGCTTCTCCACCCACTTGCGCGCTGCTACCCAGGGCAAGGGCGAGTTCTCCATGGAGTTCAGCCATTACGCTCCTGCGCCGCCCCACCTCCAGAAGGAGTTGGTGCAAAAGTACCAGAAGGAGCTCGAGGCTAAGCGCATAAAGTAAGCTGGCTGTTGAAGAACTGCAAAGCTTCGAATTGGCTTGCTGCTGCGGTTGAACTCGAGAGGCTCGCGCTGCTGGCCCTCACGTGGCGCTTGCTTTCAGCCTGAGAGTCAGGTTCGGATCTGGTCTTGGGGCTCGAATGAAAGGCCAATTTCGAGCCGTCAGTCTACCCTGGACTTGATGTTGTTGAACGGTCGAAGTAGCGTCCTTCGGCTGGACGATAATTGCTGCTCTGGCCTAGACAAAACGGACTATCCTTCCCCATCAGATGATTCATGACTGGGGAGGCATGTGAAGGCAAATAGATCATCTGGTTGTATCTATGCTAAAAAGATGTAACCCGATTAGCATTCTTGTAACACTTGAACATACAGCAGCGTGGCGGCTTTTCTTTCTCTTGGTATACAGGATGTCCAGTGTTGTACAGTACATAGATCTGTAGTATTTTATGTGTGATGATAAAAAAAAAGGGTATTTTGTACATATATGGAATGGTTAAACTACTTTGGAAACGGTTACTTTATGGGTTTCGGTAGAGCAAAAGCGAACATGGTCTCTTCTCTCATTAATAACTTGGTGTCGAACCTGGCTGTGGTGTGGTGTTCATGAACTCGCTTCAACACCGCCCCGATACCTTGTCCATCTTTTGGCAAGGATGCCATGATTGTGGCTATCAACAGCTGGCACCCGCAGCTCGCAGTTGGCGGAAGCTGTCTAAACCACATCATGCACACGGCAATTGCAACTAGTATCGTTATTATTGAAAACCATCATTTACGACTTCCTTCCTCATTTATGTACAAGGTGTCTAGCGTGAGGATACCGCTCTCATGTAAATGTCATACAGTACATCATTCAACAGCATTTTTTTGTTCTCGAGCCGGATACCAAGTATTTTTCAATATCATGACTCATAACCCTTGCCATCTAATCCCGCTCCCCATTTAGAGACGGCGAAGGATATCCTGCACAACCTCCTCGGTCTTAGCCTTACCGCCAAGATCGGGGCTGAGCAGCTTGCCCTCCTCAAGGTTAGCATCAACAGCAGCGTAGATCTTGGCCGCCGCCTCCTCCTCGTTGAGGAACTCGAGCATGAGCGCAGCAGAGCGGAGCGTAGCGATGGGGTTGGCAATGTTCTGGCCCTGAATGTCGGGCGCGGAGCCGTGGCAGGGCTCACCGATGGCGAAACCCTCACCGACGTTGGCCGAGGGGACGAGACCGAGCGAGCCGACGAGGGCGGCGGCGCCATCAGAGAGAATGTCGCCGTACAGGTTGGGCGCAACAATGACGTCGTAGGCCTCGGGCTGGCGGAAGAGCTTGTACACCATCGAGTCGACGATCTGCTCCTCGACGGCGACCGAGGTGAAGCGGCCGGCGGCGAGGGCCTCACGGGCGGTAGAGCGGAAGAGGCCGTCGGTCTGGGACAAAACGTTGGACTTGTGGGTGACGGTCACGAGGGGGCCCTTGTGGATGGAAGGGGAACCGCCCTCGCGGATCTTTTGGCGGCGCAGGGCGATCTCACCGGCGATGGTGGCGATGCGCGACGAGGCGCGCTGCGAGATGCGCTTGATGGCCTCGGCCACCTTGCCCTCGGGCGTGTCGTACGTCTTCTCCTCCTTGACGTACAGGTCCTCGGTGTTCTCGCGCACAATCACCATGTCGATGGGCTTGACGCCGGGGCCCCGGACCGACTTGACAGGGCGCACGTTGGCGTACAGGTCGAGCTTCTTGCGCAGGGCGACGATGGGAGAGGAGTAGCCCTTGACGGCCTTGGTGGGCGAGCTGACGGCTCCGAAAAGGGCGCCATCGCACTCAGACTTGAGGATCGAAACTGTCTCTTCGGGCAGGGCGTTGCCGGTCTGCTCAAAGGTTTCCCAGCCGGCCTTGAGGTCGATGAACTCGAACTTCAAGCCCAGAGAGGCCGGGAGAGCCTCGAGAATGCGCCGGCCGGCGGGAATGACTTCCTTGCCGATGCCATCACCGGGGATGAGACCTGTTGGCAGAAAGCGGGGTGATTAGCAGGGCGCCCGTTTCCCAGCAGCAAGCAGCATTGAAAGAAGGCATTGGGAGAGGTGGAAGAGTTAGGAAGCTGCTAACCAATCTTCAGGGTCCTGGCCGCCATCTTTTTCCTGTTTCAAGTGACTTTGTAGAAGAGAAAAAGGAAAAAGTCTCGAGGAGTGGAGAAATGCGGATGGAGGAAAAGACAAAGTACCGCGGATAGCTTCCAAAATGTTGGACGAATCATACCTTAGCATGGCTCACCAGGGCCGGGATCGGACTAGAAGCGCCATAGTGAAGTGACTAATGGCATGTTCAACAAAGAGACTAGCCTGTTTGGGAAGTAAACATGCAGCATTCTCCAGGTTTATTGATCGCTGCGGGCTGTTCCGCAATTTTTCCAGGATGGCCTGTCAGTGAGGTGATCTACTGTAGAGTGCCTGCTGCGTATGCCTCGACATCTCTGGCTTACGCAGTATGTATGGTAGAGGCGGCAGTGACGGAGAGTGAAGGACAACCTGGGAAAGATGACAAGACTCGGAGTATCTCCAAAGGACGTGATTTTAGAAAACATGGAGAGAGCAGGCTATAAGTGCTCTCGGCATCGCCAGCGCCGCCCATCTTCACGTGTCCTCATGGACAATCCACAGGCCGTAGTAATGTTAACGTAGCATGATTCCACGTGTGAATTAGGTGGACGCCGGTCGTTTCGAGGTTTGGGTATTATAATGGAAGTCCGGTTCTATAGAATACGAGCACGAGCAGGGGTCTTGATTTAGTAGAGGGTATAGATTGTATATTATATAGATCTCTATATTAGGTTAATCCCTTATATAGAAAATTTAGTATTAGAAGGTTGCTAGGGATATTAGTTTACGTAAGGTACTAGGTTGGTACCCCGGTTACTTCTAGTATCCGATATACCCCTTTAACTGAATTAGAATTTAAGGAGGCTATTGTCTTTAAAGCTATTTATAGATTCTATACCCTTCCTATCTTTTTTCTAGTAGTTACCTTTTAAAAGTGTTATTTATTATTATTTCTCTATTAATAGGGAAGGTTAATAGTACCCTTTTTAATAATAAAATTACCTAGTCCCGTAGTTTAATAGTTAGAACGTTGGAGTATTATTTTTAATTATCCGCCTATTATCTTTTAAATATATTTATTAGTATAATTAGCGGATTATTTTTAAATAATATACTTAAAGGTTGTAGGTTCGAATCCTACCGGGACTAAATTTTTTAATTTTTTCCTCCTTATATAATTAAATTACTATATTAATACTTTTTAATTTTTAAAGGTTATTTTAGCCGTATAGTATAGGAAGGTAATTTATACTTATAATAATTTTAACCTATATTTTTATCCTTCAATCGCTTTTTTTAATTAATTTTCTTTATTGATTATAATTAAATAATTTACTTTTATTATTACTAACTTCCTCCTTTCTCCTCGTCTCTCCTTAAGATTTACTATATTAAACTACTTTATAAATTTTTAATATTTACGTACGTCGAACGCTTTAATAAATCTATCGGTAATTATTTTACTAATAGAAATATTATATATATTAATAATACTATATTATTAAGCTTTTTTAAACTAGTAATTGTAAATATTAATATATTTAAGTTTAATTTGGAATTTAGAATTCTTTTTAGTAATAAAGTATATTATTTATTTATTATTATAACCGAAGGGGGTAATTTCGATTTCTAATTAAAGAGTAAGAGTATTAAAGAGCTTCTTTGCCTAAATACCTTCCTTTACTCCTTGGGCGAGGAATAATAATTCTACTTCGGTTATTAAAGTAGTAATAGTATTTTACTTATTAGTATACTAATTAATTATATTACTAAATAATTATATTATAAAATCTTATAACTTTCTTCGATCGTTAATATTATTAGTAAATAATATATTAATATAAATTTTAAATTTATTATTTCCTTCTAATTAGAAGGTATAATAATTAGTACTACGAAGGTATATTTTTATTTATTTAACCGCCGAATAATAAGCTAGTTTAGAGTTAGTTAGAAAGCGAATTAATTAGAATAGTATAAAAGCGATATTAGGTTTAATAATAATAGAGAAATACAGAACTGTACCAATTATTTATTAATATAATTTAATTATATATTAGGTAGAGGATTAAGGCTAGGAGGCGAACTCTTTAATTATTATAGGAATATTAGGGAGTTTTTTCCTTTATTTAATTCCTTTAATTATTTTAAGGATATATTTTCGCTAAGATAGTTAGAATAGGCGCTGCGGGCGGTCTCGAATAACTTTAATACCTAAAAATTATTAGATATTTTAATTATTAATTAATTAATAGTATTATTTAAGAGTAATATTTATTCCCTCTATTAATAATAAATATTCTAATTTATAAGTAAGGATAATATTATTAATATAAAAGAAGATAATTATATTCTCTTTAATTAGTATATACGGTTTTATAGGGATAAGGGCGAGGCTAGCTTTTACGAGAATTTTAGTAAACTCTTTTTACTAAAATAATAGAGAGTATTATAATTTATATAATATACGTAGTAACTTTAATATTTTATCCTTATATTCCTAATTATATAGTACTTTTATATAGATAGTCTTATTTAATATTATATTAATGAAGGTATTAATTATATTATACTATTTAAATTCGAAATTAAAGTAGGTAGTAATAGTTATTATAATTCTAAATAATTAGATTACGAAAATAGTAACGTACGTTTCTCGTATATTATTATATAACTATTAATCTCTTTAAACTACTAAATAGGCTTTATATTTAAAGTAATACCCTTTTATATTGAATTTGTATATATATATTTATATTAAATTAAATAATTTAATAATTTTATTAATATACTACTCGCCTTTATTAATTTACGCTTACGACTTTTTTTCTTCATAATCTTTTATATACTTTCGTTTTACTTTATAGAAGAGATTATTAAACGGATAATAATTAAAATTTCTATAAACCTAAGGGGGAGGAGGGAATTTTCGTTAATAGAAATTGGCTAAGGTATTGAAATTATTATAATAATTTATAATATTTCTAATTAACTTTAAATTATTAGAAAACTTCTCTCCTTCCTCCTTCTTACTAATAATTATATATTTTAATTAGTTAAGAGTTTCCTTATTAATAGGCCGTCTATTATATAGTTTAATATTTATTTTATTTAAAGTAATTAAAAAGGATCTAATTTAGTAGAGATATTTATTATACGTTGGTTAATTTTATTAGGAGTATAATATATTAAAATTATTAATAAAGAATAATACTAGACTTTTTAGGGGAGTAGGATATTTTATTTCTTTTTTATTTATTATTATTGCCTACTAATTATTTTACGGCCGTAATTCTAGTATTAGAACTCTAGTACCCTCTTAATATTATCCCTCCTCTTATATATATATAAATTCGGTTGGTTCGGAAATTATAGTACTATTAATAGCAGGTAGGGTTTTAATAACCAGATCGGCCTCCTTATCCTCTATTTTAATACTTCTAGTCGGTAATAGATTAAATATATTAAATTCTAATTAATAAATATTATTCAATTATATAGCCAACTCTTTAAGAGAAATATTAAGGGTATTATAGAATTCTTCGACTATATTTATAAAAATTTCGTCCTTATTAAAAACTATATTTCTTATTATAATAATCTAATTTATATATAGATTCTAAATACAATAAATATTATTAAACTAGTAATTAACTAAATACTTAACTTAAATATATCGTTTAAACTTCTAAGCCCGTTTCTAACTATATAAAATATCGATTATAAGTACGAACGTTTTATAATTATAAATTTTAAAATAGAATAATTATAGTACTAGTTTTTATTAACTATTATTATAATTAATTATATATATAGTAAAATATTCTTTTAGGGACTTTTAATTGAATTTTTATTATAAAATTAGGTTTAATAAGTATATTACTACTATTATTATCTCTCTTTAGAATTCTTATAGTAAATTTACTAATTCTTTTATTATTACTAATTTTTCCCTAATTATACCCCCCGAACGTTCGGTACCGCCGTTCTACACCTAAATATATAAGGCCGAAGGCTTAAGAACCGTATTATATCTAATTAAGAAGGTAGTAATATAGGGTTTATTTATAGTTATTTCATTATTATATTTAATTACCCTTAGTCGGATTTAGTAATAAAATTCAAAATCGTTAAATAATAACGTTAATATAATAATAATCGAATCCGCTATTTAGTCCGGTAAATAATATAATTATACTTTCCCGGACTAATAATTTATAACGATTATTAAATTCGATACTATACCTCTACTAAGTATTTTAATTAAGGAATAATTAAAGAAATTAATAGCGAGGTAGAGATTAGGACCTTCTAATGCGTTATAGATTTTTCTATATATTTAGTACTTTATTTTAATTATTATATAGGAATTATAATAAACGAGATCGGGACCCTTTAAACGTACTTTATATTCTTTATTTATTAATTAAATTAAGGTTTTTAGTCTTAGGTAATTAAAGCGAAGATATTAGCGTAAGGTATCGCTTTTTTAAAACTTCTTAATAGTTTTACTAGTAAATTAGTAAAATTATATATAAAAAGAGGATTAATTAGTACGTATTTCGAAGGGTATATATTCTAATATAAATTAATTAAATTCTAAAGAGAAATAGTATAAATAACCGTTATTTAAATAGAAATAAAGGTACTTTAAATTAAAAGATTAATCCTAGTATAGTCCTTTTTCTAATAACCTTCTTAAAAATACTAAATTATAAGCCATCCTGGATATAAGTATAACGTTATTAAATTTAAGATTAATAAATCAATTTTTATTATTACTTAATATTAAATAGACCGAACTATATCCTTTAATTGCAATAAATATATTTCCCGCTTAGACGTAGTCTCCTTCTCTCGCTGGTTTGAAACTTTTAAATTAACCGGCCTTATTAAAAATATAAATTATTATACCTAAATTAAAAATTATTAAGTCCTTTAATAGGTACTTTAGTCTATCTTTATAGGGTTTTAGTATTAAAAAATTCGTTTTATAATATATATTACTAACCCGCTAACTATTAAATTAAAAGTTACTAACGTTGTTTTAATAGGATTTATTAATTTTAGTATCTTTTAAGAATTTTCTAATCTTTCTACTAGTTTGGGGTCTCTTTAGC